GATAATGACCTGCTAGCTTAGGCCCGCTCCTGGGTGGCAGAGGGCAGGCCCAATCCCTAGGTGCAGCCCCTGGTCGGGCTCAGAGCAGGGCCGATTGGGGAGTTGGGGCGCCGCCCCGTCATGCACAGAGCAGGGAGATTGGGAGGTTGTGATTCCACCCTCAGTCACGCTCAGGGTAGGGCCAATTGGGGAGTTGGGGCACCGTCCCCTGTCACACTCAAGGCAGGGTCGATGGGGAGGTTGTGGCGCCACCCCCTGTCACGCACAGAGCAGGGCTAATCGGGGGGTTGGGGCGCTGCCCCCGTCACCCACAGAGCAGGGCCGATCAGGGGGTTGGGGTGCTGCCACTCTCACACTCAGGGCAGGGCCAATGGGGAGGTTATGGCTCTACCCCATCACACACAGAGCAGGGCCCGTTGGGGGGGTGGGGGTTGGGGAGCTCCCCCCTATCAGGCACAGAGCAGGGCTGATCAGGGGGTTGGGGCCCCGCCCCCTGTCACGCTGATCCTGGTGCTGGGAGGCATATTACCCTTTTACTATATAGGGGAGAGGCCTGGTGCATGGGTGGGGCTGGCTGGTTTGCCCTGAAGGGTGTCCTGGATCAGGGTAGGGGTGCCCACTGGGGTGCCTGGCCAGTCTGGGTGAGGGGCTGAGGGCTGTTTTCAGGCTGGGAGTGACTGAAGCTCCCAACTGCTCCTTTTTTTCTTTTTTCTTTTTTTTATTCTGGGCCAGCTTTAGCTTGAGGCTTGGCTCCAGCTCTTAGGCCTCCGCGCTGAAAGTAGGTTTCTGGCCTTTGCTTACAATGTTGCGAATCTGCTGCCTGAAGTCCGGCGGTATTTGTTACAATGTTTCTTAAACTGCCCACTCAGAGGCCTGCAGCCGCAGGCGGGGAACGTTGGTTTCCTCCGTCACTGAGGCAAGCAAGCCTCATGTTAGTTTCAAGCTGCCTGGCTGCCAGCCGCCATCTTGGCTGACAGTTAATTTGCATATCTCGCTGGTTAGCCAATGAAAAGGGTAGCGGTTGTACGCCAATTACCATGTTTCTCTTTTATTAGTGTAGATTCCTTCCAACCAGATCTTATCCCCAGGAAAATCGAAAATAAAACAATCTAACTCCCATAGTAAACTAACATGCCTTTACCCATCTGCCAATCATGATGAGGCAATCAATGTGACAGGAATATGCCCTAGCACAGCGATGGCGAACCTTTTGAGCTCGGCATGTCAGCATTTTGAAAAACCCTAACTTAACTCTGGTGCTGTGTCACATATAGCATTTTTTTGATATTTGCAACCATAGTAAAACAAAGACTTACATTTTTGATATTTATTTTATATATTTAAATGCCATTTAACAAAGAAAAATCAACCAAAAAAATGAGTTCTCATGTCACCTCTGACACATGTGTCATAGGTTCGCCATCACTGCCCTAGCAGAACAGACGGCACCAAGTATGACCAAGCACTAGTTATTGTTTTGCATTTGTTATGTTACTTATAAATGAGTGACTGCTGCATTTTCTGGAAGAGGATACTGAGGCTCCAACAGGTAAAGTGATTTGCCCCAACTCTCTCCAGTTTCTCCTTTGCAGGAATCAGAATACAGGTTTAAACTTCAAATCCCATGCTTTTTATCATCAAGCTATACTGCCTCCTAGGTTACTTCATCCATACCAGCACCCTTCATTGGGGAAAATTTAGGCCCCCATCCCATTAGAGGTGTTGCAAAAGCTATACTTGACTTTGGTTTTCTCCTTGGCTCACATTTCAACACCTACCCTAAAGTGTCTCCATCACCTGAATGCCCCTTCCTTGTCTCATTTCCCTCTTGTGTACTGACTGCTGAGGACATGGGGCTCTCATCTTGCATCCATCCGCAAAGTTGTAAGGCTGTTGTCTGTCCCACATCTCATGACCTCCATGCTAAGAATAGCAAGCTAGAAGAGTTTCCAGTGAGATCATCTAGATGAAAGCCTTCTCTAAACTATACAGTTCATACATAGACATTGTTCCAAAAAGGAGTTATGATTAAACAGAACCTTCTCAGGCTCTCTCCCCAATGAAAAGTTCTTGGTTTCTAAAGGTAATTCCCTCATTGTCTATTAAATGAGTGACTCAATGATAATTTCATGTCAGATAGGAAAGAAAAAAAAGGATGAATAGTAAAGAGGTTATGGTTTAGATGAGATCAATTAGTGTATGTTTCATGTATATTAGATTCACCCTAGTATGTTGAGTGCACACCCTAGATCTAAGATGTTTTTATTCCGTTTTTAAAGTAAACATCAATTTACTCATCCAGTATTGCCTTTGTAACAAGATAGTTAGGTGCACACAAAGGCAAAAGGCAGCAGAAAACATACAAGTAACCATTCAAGAAATGTAGCCGTTCTAATGACACCGCTCATGGAGGCAAGCACGTATGCGGGTTATGTCGCAAATCAATCCAGTCCTGGTGGCACATTGAAAAGTTGAACAATATTCTCCATTAAGCACTAAATTCTGAATTTCTAGTCAAATGGCATAAACAGCTTCCTGGTTCCAGTTTGTGACCACTGTCATTGACCTGAGCAGATGAACAAAATAACTGCATCCCACACCATTTGCTAGCGAGCCCTTCTTAGATGGAACAGAAAGTAGTTGCTTTACATACTTAATGACTTTATTAAGCTAACTGGAAAGTTTCAGAAGAACCAATGGATTTCAATATTTGTATTTTCTGACCCAGAATTCAAATGTTGACTCAGAACTCAAATAGCATGTGGTGGCAGTGGTCATGGCAGGAGGTGTGAGGATGTTTGTGTGATCACCGTCTTACCTCAGTGACATTTAGTCAGCCTGTCTGGAAAGTCTGCTCTATAGAACTTGTCAAAAATATCTGCTACCTATCCCTGACCGGTTTGGCCCAGTAGATAGAGCGTTGGCCTGCAGACTGAAGGGTCCCAGGTTCAATTCCAGTCAAGGGCATGTACCTTGGTTGCGGGCACATCCCCAGTAGGGGGTGTGCAGGAGGCAGCTGGTCGATGTTTCTAACGCTCTATCCCTCTCGCTACCTCTCTGTAAAAAAAAAAAAAATCAATAAAAATATGTTTTTTAAAAAATATCTGCTACCTACATTTCCCTCTTCTTGCAAAGGTTGATTTTTTAAGAGAATTATTAGGAAGATCTTCAGAAACAAATGGTTGTAAGAGTACAATCTTGACACATTTCCCTTCTTTATGTAGCAAAAAATACCATTAAGTAGAAGAGTTCCTAAAGTCAAGCAGGTTGTGAGCACCTAGAGACAGAAAGGGGTCATCCACCCTACTTTATCCACCCAAAAGAAAATGCATGCATTCAACCCCGAGCAGTTGGGTTGAATATTTTAATAATTTTAATAATACTTGGACCAATTATCTCCTGAGGATAAACTGGGAAGACAGTAGCAAGTTCATAATATCAGAAATGTATATTTTGAGATAAGTTACAAAAGTTGACTTCAAAGAAGAAATCATGGGGGTTTGGGAGAAGTGATAAATTCTTAGTTTTATAAAATATGGGGAGGGGGGTGTATAGTATTGATTTAATCAAAAGATAAATATAACTGCACCAAAAGATTAGTCCTCTTAGCATAGTGTCCAAAGCAAACACACCATAAACCAAATTTGGTTATTATTCATGCCTCAACCTGAACACTTCTAGTCCTAAAGGGACCTTCTCTGAGGCCCTCTGGGCAATATTAAAATAACACACAGATTGTGTCATTCAAAGCAAGCCTTACATTGTGTGGCAGAGTGAAACAACGTAACCCAATACTTAGAGTTATTAAAAGCTAGCAAGTTTAAGAAGAAGAATAAAATGTTGCATAACCACTGCTACTTTAAAACTAGCCAGTTCCTTTAAACTCTTAGATAGCCTTCTCAGATAACAATAGAAAGGGTACAAGAAATCCAAAATAAACACATCAAGAAGTTCCATCTCTAGCTTGCCTTAAGCTTATAGTTTATTGTTTATTGTCCAAACCAACAGCTTCCTATAAAAAGAACATTTATACTTAGAACAAGAAGCTGGCTGAACAAAGTCAGTTGTCTGATAAATGGTCAAATAAATAAGCTTTATATGTTTATGGTGTTGTTGTTTTTTTACATTTTTAGAATAAAAATTTATACATAATCTGACATCTGTAATTTGACAGTTGTCTTCTCACCTAAATCCTTAGTAAACACTCACCCACTTTTAGGTAATGTAGAAAAACGAAAAAAAATTCTAACTTGTAAAACAAAAATATATAGGTAAAGAATACATTTTAAAAGGATGTTCACACATATTTAATATTTTGACACACATTAAATTCATAAGCATTTTGTCCAACCCTAAAATAACCGCTTAAAAGAAAACAGGGAGGAAGGGTCTTTTCTACCACAAGATGGGTCCAAACTAGCTAATAAAATCAGGGCAGGATCCACAAACAATTTGCAGGCTCAAATATCCCAGGTGAACAAGATTTTTCCTCCTTGTTTACTGTTTCAGATATTGAGACGTTTTATTTAATTTTTAAAGCATTAACAGTCTCGGACAAGTTTAGCAACTGAAAGGAAAGCCAGTGGTTAAAGCAATCTACCTAGCTACTAGGCAAATGCCTCTGAACGCCCACAGTACGCCTTCTGGAACCATTTCATTGTCACAACTGTCTCACTAATACAGCAGCTGTAATCTCTACAAATGGCTGCAGTCCTTTCACCCCACCTCAGAGGGGACGAAATTAGGCCGTAACAAATACTTGCTACTCACTTTTCAGTTTCCTTGTCTTCTGCTCGAGGGCCTGGCAAGTGTTCACTAGCTCGGTATTTATAGCCTGGAGACTCAGTTGTTCTGAAATTGCTTCCTCTGATTGATGCAGCAACGACTTCGCCTTTTCCCTGGCAGAGTGGGCTGTGCCCTCTCGGTCCTCAACCTGGAGACATACAGTTAATACTGGATTTTCACAGTGTGTCCCGGAAAGAAAGCCATTGAGCGCACACTCTTATGCACAGGAAACTGCAAATGTGCTTTTGTTCTCAGGGAAGTGATAAGCCTCCACTGAACTTCTGCTATTCTGTGTTTGCATGGGCTTCGTGCGCCCCAGCTCTATCCCCAGCCCTAACAGCCCTGATATGTCAAGTTGCCTCTTTCTGCAGAGCTGCCTCCTTTCGCAGCAGACTGTTGACACCGCCTCTTTTACAACGCCCCCTTTACTTCCTCCGCAAACTGCTAGTCTCCAGGGACTGAACTTCACAGTTCCTCTTTGGGTTTTTTTTCTTTCTTTCTTTCTGTTGTTGTTCCTTCTCCATTTTTATCTCATGGTTTTAAGGACATCGGAGGAGCCTTCCCCTAAATATAATATAGTCAAAGGCCGCCCTACCTGCTCCTCTGCATCCTCTAGCCGTTGACTGGCTTCTTGGACCTTCTTCCTGAGGATGGCTTCCTGGTTGACAGCATCTTCTTGCAGTTGTTTAATGGCTTCTAGTTGTTTCTGCCTGGAGTTAAAAAAAAAAAAAAAAAAAGTCCAAACCACAAGCTGTCAGTGACATTTCAACTAAGAGTCACCCCTGGGAAGTTGTGACAAATTCAGACTTCATACATTTCCTCAGAGATCAGAGGAAAGAGTGAAAGTGTTTACTTCATACAAGTGCTTCTCCAATATAGAATTTAAATTAAAGCCATCGTCTTGATCACTTAGCCTGATGTCCTCACTTTACAGATCAGGATGTGTAGTTTCCTGTTTTACAGTAGAATATTTGGTTTCCCACAGGCTGCATTCATAGCACTTTGCATCGGTGGCCAACTGCCTGCAGTGGTTCTCAACCTTCTGGCCCTTTAAATACAGTTCCTCATGTTGTGACCCAACCATAAAATTATTTTCGTTGCTACTTCATAACTGTCACGTTGCTACTGTTATGAATCGTCATGTAAATATCTGATATGCAGGATGGTCTTAGGCGACCCCTGTGAAAGGGTCGTTCGACCGCCAAAGGGGTCGCGACCTACAGGTTGAGAGCCGCTGGCTTAGAGGATGGAGCTACAAGGGGGTCACAGTAGCAGGTGCAATATTGACACAGCACAGCTAGCTTTTGCAGAAAATAAAATAGAGTGAGTGAGGGAGGAAAAAGAGAAGAAATAGAAACTTTATTTCATGACCTTAGCCTTTCTCCTTAAAAGTTGCCAATCATGCTAGAAATGTGTGCCATGAGGACAGGAAGGGCACTCCCAAGCTCACACGAAAGCCAGATGTCAGTATTTCCCCTGAAGTCTTTTCTTTCTGAAGACCTTCCCCTCCCTTTCTTCCTCAGCCCAACCTCTTAGTGTTGTTATGTCACCTCTCTTTCGGATCTGACCTTAATTCTCAAAATACGTCGAAATGCATCTACTCTGATAACAGAGGAGATTATTTGAAGTATGCTATGTATCAATATATCAATGACTATCTGGAAACAACTTGCCCTGAATAAGGATCTTAGCTCAAAGGGATGACAAACTTTGGGAGTTTCAAAGCAGAGGGGGGGAAACATTGTCAAGTTTAGGCCATTTGTGTTCCTCTTCAAATGTTAACACACAGAATCCCATTGTGCGTTGTCATAAATCCTGCCCTGATTACAAAAAGGACCACACAAAAGACAAGGATGGGTGAGAATGCTTTACCATTATAGTAAACCAGCAAACAAAACCCTAAACAAAATTAAAACCACCTGAACACATATTCTACTAAGATGGTACAATAGCTTATAGTCAGGGTTTTCTTTTCTTAAATCGTGGTGAGAACATTTAACATGAGATTTACCCCCTAACACAGTTTTAAATATATAACACAGAGTTAACTATATGCACAATGTTATACAGCAGATCCCTACAACTTTCTCATCCTATGTAACTAAAACTATACCCGTTGAAGAATTGCAACTCCCATTTCTTCTTCCCCGAACCCCTGGAAACCACCATTCTACTCTCTGCTTCTATTGGTTTGATAATTTTTAACACCTCATGTAAGTGTAATCATGTAGTTTGTCCTTGTGTAACTGATTTATTTCACTTAGAGAAAGGTCCTCAAGATTCATCCATGTTGTCGCATGTGGCAAAATGTCCTCCTTTTTTAAGGTTGAATATTATTTCTAGACCGCATTACTTCATTCATCCACTGATGAACGTTTAGGCTGTTTTCACGTCTTATTCTGAATAATGCCGCAATAAACAGGAGTGTGCCAGTATCTCTTCGAGATTCTGCTCTGACTTTTTTTGGATATATACCCAGAAGTGTGATTGCTAGATCATGTGGTAGCTCTATTTAAATTTTTTTGAGAAACCTCTATACTGTTTTCCATAGCAGTTGCACCATTTTATATTCCCATGAACGGTATACAGAGTTTCAATTTCTCTACACCCTTGTCAACACTTGGTATTTTTTTTGGATTTTTTTTTTTAATGCAGTCTTCCTAACAGGTGTGATTCATTCATCATTGTAAATGACTCATTGTGGGTTTTATTTGCATCTCCCTGATGATCGGAGATTTTGAGCATTTTTTTCACATACCTGCTGGCCAATTGTGTATCTTCTTTGTTTCTGTTTTTTTTGAAAAATGGCTATTTAAGTACTCTGATCATTTTTCCCCCCAACTACACACTTTTTTTAATTCCCATCCCCCAGCCCCCATTTTGCAATGATCAGCTTGTTCTCCATATCTATGGTTCTGTTTGTATTTTGTTTTATTAATTTGTTTTGTTTTTATAGATTCCGCTTATAAGTGAAATCATATAATATTTGTCTTTCTTTGACTTATTTAACTTAGCATAATACCCTCTAGGTCCATCCACATTGTCAATAATGGCAAGGATATTCATATATAAAATAATATTCCTTGCCGAAACCGGTTTGGCTCAGTGGATAGAGCGTCGGCCTGCGGACTGAAGGGTCCCAGGTTCGATTCCGGTCAGGGGCATGTACCTGGGTTGCGGGCATATCCCCAGTAGGAGATGTGCAGGAGGCAGCTGATCGATGTTTCTCTCTCATCGATGTTTCTAACTCTCTGTCTCTCTCCCTTCCTCTCTGTAAAAAATCAATAAAATATATTTAAAAATAATAATAATATTCCTATGTATATTCAAATATATATATATATATATATATATATATATATATATATATATATATATATATAAAACCTCTTCTTTATCCATTCATCTATTGATTGACATCCATGTTCCTTCCATATCTTAGCTAACACTAGTAGTGCTGCAATGAACATAGGGGTAAATATCTTTTTGAGTTAGTGTGCTTTTTGTGCATGTGTTTTTGTTTTTAATAAATACCCAGAAGTGGAATTGCTGGATCATAAGGCAGCACCCCTTTTAATTTTTTGAGGAAACTCCATAGTATTTCCTATAGTGGCTACACTAATTTACAATCCCACCAATAGTGCACAAGGGCCCCCTTTTCTCCACATCCTCTCCAGCACCTGTTCTTTGTTGATTTATTGATGATTGCCAACCTGACAGATGTGAGGTGATATCTCATTGTGGTTTAAACTTGTATCTCTCAAATGATTAGTGACATTGAGCACCTTTTCATATGTCTGTTGGCTAGTCCTCTTTGAAGAAATGTCTATTCAGGTCCTCTGCCAATTTTCACACTGGGTTATTTGGTGTTTTTGTTTGTTTGTTATTGAATTGTAGAAGTTCCTCATGTATTTTGAGTATTAACCCCTTATCAGATATATGGTTTGGAATATTTCCTCTCATTCCATAGGTTACCTTTTCACTCTGTGGATTCCTTTGCTGTGAATAAGCTTTTTAGTCTGATATAGATCGACTTGTCTATTTTTTTCTGTTGTTGCCTGTGCTTTTTGGTGTCCTATCCAAGAAATCATTGCCAAGACCAATGTCATGAAGCTTCCCCCCACCCCCACCCCCCAAGATTTTCTTCTAGGAGTTTTACAGTTTTAGGTTTTATGTTTAAGTCTTCACTCCATTTTGAGTTGATTTTTATAGATGGTATATAATAAGGGATCAAATTCATTCTTTAGCATGTGGATATCCAATTTTTCCAATACCATTTGTTGAAAAGACTATTGTTTTTCATTGTGTATACTTGGCACACTAGTCAGAGATCAGGTGGATTGCTTCATTCTCTTCTCTTGGTCTCTATGTCTGTCTTTAGACCAGTACCATACTGTTTTGATTACTGTAGTTTTATGATATATTTTGAAACCAGGAAGTGTGATACTTTCAGATTTGTTTTTTCTCAAGATTGTTTTGACTATTTCAGGTGCTTTGTGGTTCCATATGAACATTAGGATTGTTTTCCTCTATTACTGTAAAAAATGCCATTAGGATTGCCCTAACTGGTTTGGCTCAGTGGATAGAGTGTTGGCCGATGGACTGAAGGGTCCCAGGTTTGATTCCAGTCAAGGGCATGTACCTTGGTTGTGTGCTCTCATTGATATTTCTAACTCTCTATCCCTCTCCTTCTCCCTTTCTCTCTGTAAAAAAAAAAAAATCAATAAAATATATATGATATATATGTTTTAAAATGCCATTAGGATTTTGATAGGGATTACATTAAATATGTAGGTTGCTTTGGATAGTATGAATATTTTAACATTATTAAGTCTTCCAATCCATGAACATAGGATGTATTTCCATTTATTTACATCTTGATTTCTTTCAGCAATGTTTTGTAGTTTTCAGTATACAAGTCTTTACCTCATTTGTTAAGTTTATTCCTAAGTATTTTATTTATTTGGATGCTATATTAAATGGGGTTGTTTTTTCAGGTTTCTTTTCAGCTATTTTATTAATAGTTTTATAGAAATGTAACTGATTTTTGTATGTTCATTTTGTATGATATAAAATTAAATTTGTTTATTAGTTTTAACAGTTTTTTTTGGAGTCTTTTGGGTTTTTTACATGTAAAACCATGTTATCTTCAAACAGAGATGACTTTACTTCTTCCTTTCCAATGTGGATGCCTTTGTCTTGTCTAATTGCTCTAGTACCATGTTGCATGGAAGAGGTGAGAGTGGGCATGCCTGCCTGCCTGCCTTATTTCTGAACTTAGAGGAAAAGCTTTCAGTTTTTCACCATTGAGTATGATGTTGGCTGTGGGTTTTTCGTAGATAGTCTTTATGATGTTGAAGTAGTTTCCTTCTATTTCTAGTTTTTTTGAATACGTAGTTTTATTATGAAAGAGTGTTGAATCTTGTTAAATGGTGTTTTTTTTGGTGCTCTTGTGATATTTATTCTTCATTCTGTTAATGTGCTGTATCACATTAATTTATTTGTATATGTTGAGTCATTCTTGCATCAAAGGGATAAATTTCACTTGATCGTGATATATAATCATCTTTTTAATGTGCTGTTGAAATTGGTTTGCCAGTATTTTGTTGAGGATTTTTACATGTATATTCATCAGGGATATTGGTCTGTAGTGGTGGGTGTGTGTGTGTGTGTGTGTGTGTGTGTGTGTGTACAGTGTTTTTGGTGTCAGGATAATGCTGGCCTCATAAAATAAATCGGTAAGTTGTCCCTCCTCTTCAGTTTTTTGAAAGAGCTTCAAAAGTTTGCATTAATCTTCTTTAAGTGTTTGATAGATTCACCAGTGAAGACAACTGGTCCTGGGCTTTTCTTTGTTGGGAGGTTTCTGAATATTGTTTCAGCCTCTTTACTAGTTATTGGTCTGTTCAGATATTCTGTTTCTTCTTGATTCAGTCTTGGTTAAGTTGTATGTTTCTAGGAACTTATTTATTTCTTCAAGGTTATCCAATTTGTTGGTGTATAATTGTTCATAGAAGTGTTTTATGATAGTTTCCCCTACTGTGGCATCAGTTGTAATGTCTCCTCTTCCATTTCAGATTTTACTTATTGGAGTAGTCTCTTTTTCTAAGTCTAGCTAAATATTTGTTGATTTTGTTTATCTTTTTTTTTCCCAAAACCAACTCTTAATGTCATTGATTTTTTAAGATTTATTTTCCTATTTTGTTTACTTCTGTTCTAATTTTTATTATTTCCTTCCTTGTGCTAAATTTAAACTTTGGTTTTTTTTCCAGTTCCTTGAGAAATGATCTAAGCTCTCAAGAGTCCACTATCATCTGAATGAAAGCAAAATGACTCTGCCGACCAATAGAAATACATACTTAATAATATTAAATTTTTAATAACTTGTATGTGTATGCATATATAAGATAATACATTGTATGTACTTTATAAGTCATAACAATCTTAGAAATAGCTTTTAAAAATTAGATAGAACCATCTGTTAAAAACATTTAACAGCTGGTCATTATGGCTCCATGGTTGAGCATCGACCCATGAACCAATAGGTCACTGGTTCTATTCCCAGTCAGGGCACATGCGCGGGTTGCAGGCTTGGTCCCCAGTAGGGGGAGTGCAGGAGGCAGCCAATCAATGGTTTCTTTCATCACTGATGTTTCTAGCTTTTTATCCCTCTTCCTTCCTCTCTACCCTAAAATCGATAAAAACATTAAAAAAAGAATTGTTTATAGCATTAAAAATATTTAACAGCTGTTGAACCACTGAAGATTTTTCTTTTATTGAGATTATTATCACAGTAAGAGGTAAATATCAGTTTTCAGTGTGTATTTTTAAATTCAGCAACTCTCCTTGCTAACATGTTAATGCTACATCTTGATTATTACTCCTGCCAAGTCTGAGCCTCCCCCAGACTTTGGCATCCAAAATAGATTTTAGTTTCAGGCCACAAACCTCTAAGACAAGGGTGCCTCTTCTCTTTCTTGCATTCCCACAACTAATTCACTAGCATGTCAGATATGATCCATCCTCAAAACATAGTTTGAATCCAACCATTCTTTACCACTTTTACAGCAATCACCCTGACTCATGTTACATCTCTCACCTGGACTATTGCAATAGTTCTTAACTCAATGCTTTTGTCTTGTTTTTTTACCATGACTCAGTAAATATAAATAGTTTATATTTCAAGCAATTACACGTATACACACACACACACACACACAGTCACAGCTGAAACAAAAATGTTATGAAACATTACTTACTCTTACTATATGTAATACACTCGGATATTTCATATATATTTTTTAATGGGTCATAATCCAGTAAGTTGATTTCAGGATCTCTAACTGGCAATCTATTATTGAAAAGCTCATCTCACTAGTCCACTGCTTTAAACCTTGCCCTCTATAGATAATTTTCTACCCAGCAGCCAGAATAATCTTTCAAAACTTCTCTGCTTATAACCCTATGATGGCTTCCCATCCACTCAGAATAAAATCCCCACTCCCAAACGTGAACTGAAAGGCTGTGGACCTGACCCCTGACTGTCTCTCTGGCTTCATCTCCACCACTGCTCAGAACTCACTCCACCCCAGTCATGCTGGCCGCTCAAACATACCAATCTCATTACAACCACAAGGCCTTTGCACTAGTTAGTTCCTCTGCCTCAAACACTGCTGAGATCATTACATAGCTCCCTCTCTCATTTCACTCAGCTATCCACTCAATTGACCACTCCTCAGACAGGGCTTTCCTGGCCATTTTTCTAAAATTAGGTTCTCCTGACCCTGTCATTCTTGGTCTTTGTATCCTGCTTTAATTTACTTCATATCAACCTGGCATTACAGTATATAATTATATGTTTATTTGTTCATCATCTGTGTCCCTCAATAGATCTTAGTTTCATGGAGGCAGAGATTTCTGTCTCGTTTCCTATAATTCCCTAGTACCTATGCGGGAGGGACTGGGCAATGGAGTCAGGCAAAGAGCTGACACTTTGATGTTGCCCAATGATGACATGCTTTTCAAACCAAGCCTTTTGGGGTACTTTTTTTTTTTTCTCACTACCTCACCTTGACTTTTGGGCACGTGCTCTGACTGGGAATCGAACCATGACCTCCCAGTTCACAGGTTGACACTCAACCACTGAGCCACAGTAGCTGGGCTTGACTCAATTCTTTGCATTCCTCGGCTCTGGAACATAGTTATCTTTCATCCTAGTCAGAATGGAAGCCTTCTCCTCCTAAGTTTATAGCCTCTGAAAGTTGCCTTTAAAAAAGTATTTCCTACCTCATCTAAAGACAATACTTTTATTCTCACAAATTTCTCCACTCATTTTCTCATGCATAGTTAAAACCCATAGCCAAGTCATTTGGTGTATAGTGTCCGTATGAGTTTGTCTATTTTAAATTATGTCTAGAAGTTAGGGGCTAACCCTTTCTTACATTTATAAATAGCACTTTTCCCACTGCTGGGTTTCCAGAATACTTTTAATGAGCATTATACCAGATTTTAGCAAGTAGATAGTGGAGGATTAATAGTTTCAAGAACATGCGTTTTGAAGCTGAACATATCTAGATCTGATCCCAGTTGTCACTTAATCTATCTGGGTGACCTTGGGACGTTATTGAACCTCTCTGGAGATAAATACACGTTAAATTCTTAGCACTACATCCAACACAGTAAGCTTTCAACAAATTGCACCTACTCTTATTTTCTTGTGTGTCTAGTAGATAATACAAAAGATTCACATATTCAGAGATGACTCTAGTAGTAGAAGCCTCTCTCAAAATAGTTCTTTGTTGCTAAACAGAAGAATTTCAGTACTCCCTTTTGTGGAGACGGTATCTGGGTAAGGAAGCTGCATATCTCCTTAACCCACAGCTTTACCACTAAGGGGAAGTCTTGGCTCACTGCTTCTTAGGAAAAGCAGAAGATTATTTTCTTGAGAGTTCCTTCTGGTATTATCTCTGGCATCTAGTTTCCTTACTTAGGGGGAAGAAAATAGTTTTTCTCCTGGCTATTTTTTAAAGCAACCTTGGCCTCTAATGACATTTTTTTTTTTTACTTTATTAAAATTCAGTATATACCCATGTTCATTCATTCCTTTGAAAGGCACTTCTTAAGGGAACACTTAGTATGGTACTAGCAGCTATAGAAACAGAGGTTGACAAAAGATATACTCACTGCCCTTGTGTTTAGTATATGTGCTTTACAAGCTACAAATTTCAAGAATCCCCCATAATCATAAGAATTAAGGTGAGAGAAAGGGTTAGTTGGTAAATTATTTTATATTTAGAACCCTTTATTCCCCAGACTCTTTTCACTTGAGATTTATTTCCTAGTGTCCAATGTGATGCATTGTATCCTAAGGTGGAACATGAAGCCCAATGGGATAGGAGTTAACAGACCCAGCATCAGATTCTTCCATTAATAGATCTACCTGTGGATTTTCCATTAACTCTCAGATCTTGATCAATTCACTTTACATCCTTATGCCTTGGTCTTGTGTCATTACAGCGGTAAAGCTGTGGGTTAAGGAGATATGCAGCTTCCTTACCCAGATACCGTCTCCACAAAAGGGAGTATTGAAATTCTTCTGTTTAGCAACAAAGAACTATTTTGAGAGAGGCCTCTACTACTAGAGTCATCTCTGAATATGTGAATCTTTTGTATTATCTACTAGACACACAAGAAAATAAGAGTAGGTGCAATTTGTTGAAAGCTTACTGTGTTGGATATAGTGCTAATGATGAGGTTTTACTAAATGGTCTCTAAGGCCCCTATGGTTAAAAGGACTCTATATTCTGTAATTCCAAATTCCTCCTCTAGAGAAAATAACTCTGATACTGGTTTTCCACAGATTTTAAAGTTCACTATTTGCGATTTTGAATATATTAGTCCATTTTACACTATTTCACAATTCGAGACTGTCAGACAAAATGTCTTCCCTGAAAAAGCATCATCTGAAATCAATACATAGAACTTGGAAAAAAATGAACTGAAGGCTATGGCACAATCACAATGGTGTCAGGTTCAGAAAGCATGGGTTTCTTAAACATAAATGATCGTCACCTGGAAAGATATTCTTTTCCGAAATAAAAATATTCCAGCCCGAATCTCTTCAAAATCTCTATCAACTTGACAAATTCTTTATCAAGAGATTCTTTGTGGTTTCCCAAGTTCTTTAGCATTAATACGCAAAAATTTAGTTTCTCTTCCATGGTATATTTGAATTCCTACAAGGAAAATCACAAAACAAACTCCACTATTCCAGTGTTAAATATAAACATGACAGAGGCAATATGAAATGCTGTGGCCATTCTCCTTCAATAGTACTCCCTGCTATTGGACCCTAAAATTCTAATTGAACACATACTAACTCTTAATTGCCCAAAGACTGATTATCCTATAGGTTGATTATCTCAATTTAACAAGTAGATATTGGGTACTTATCAAGTGCATGGAATTGAATTTCATTTGTTTTTCTTAAGATTGTGGGTTCCTGACCATTTCACCAATCATCACAATTGCTTTAGAATAGCATGGGACAAGGAAGTGCGATAAAATCAGTATCTGTTGATTAGCATTTTCAAGAGCAACTTTTTAAAAAAAGGTTTGGCAAAGGGGTTGAAATTAACATTCCAGAGTTTCCTTCTTGCTTTAGTGTAATTTAGGGGCTGATGAACATTAATAGTTGTCTGGCAATCAAGAAGTAGAGATAATGAGATTTATATGGTTCTTAACAAAACTGGAAATGGCTACCTAACAAGCTCATGGTTTTCCAATGTTCTGCAAATATTGGGAATAACAAAACTGTCAGAATCTCAGGAATAAGATTCTTTTGCACACAACCATCCTACCAAAATCAGAGAATTGTAATAAGCCAATGTTAAGTGGCTTGGACTAGCCAATTCTCACAAGAATTCAAATAAAATACACTCTTTCATTAAGTCATCTTATTTAGTCTTTGTTTCTCCAACATATAACACATATCTTCAAACTCACTCACTCACTCTCACCTTTTCCTCACCCTCACCCTCAAAGACTTTATCCTAACCGTCACGTTCACCCTCACCCTCATATGCACATTTATACATCCCCCACAGACACTTTACACACAGCATCAGACTGAGATAGCAGAAGACTTCAATAATGCCTGACATGGTACTGCACATAATGAAGTATTACCTGGGTTTCAAAGGTAGAAGGGAAACCAGGAAAATCACAAAATACAGAACACTTACAGTAAGCATGTTCTCCCACTTTTCCTTCACAGTTATTTCTGGACTAGTTACCCACTGGAGAGGACTGTCAATGAGGGCTTCCACTTCAGAAACATCTTCATGCTGAAAAAGAGTTTCACATCTTCAACTAGGAATTCAGGGGGAAGACATATACTATTACATAAGAACTAAGATAGACCAAAGTTCTATTATAGAGTAACCTAGAGAAAGTTCCTTCTCAACTAACGCCTCTCACTGACTTGCCTTTACCCCAGGACGTTGCCATGGGTAGATGCTACCTCTCGTCGGGTTCTCTATTTATGCTGAATGTGCAGAGATAGAATCATTTTCCAGAAAAACCTATCCATTTTTATCTTCCTCTCAAATAGAAGGAAACAAGCATTTTTGTGGATTTTTTCATCTGTCAAACTAAATACTACCTAGCATACATGCTAGGCACTGTGGAAGGGACTGGAAATATCAACATGAAGATTCTCTGCTTTCTCTGACCATCTAGAGCTTCCAGTCACATATCAAAATGAAGAAAGAGGTGCTAGTCATTAGCTAGAAGGAAATTGCTCAATAGATACCATGTCTTCAGCCCTTTGATAATAAAGATTAACCTGTAGGAAAACTATGCTCAAGCAATCCATATCCAATGGTCAGTTAGTCCTGACTGACTCAGAACTAGAAGATCAACTTCAGGAACATTTGAGAAAAATTTTCTCTTTCATAGTAGGATGATTTGGGAGCTTAACAACACACACATATGCTTGTGCTCAGCAAACAGGTGCAGGTCAGTTGTCTGCAGACATTCCTAGTCAGTGAAACCCCGTGATAGGCGTGTGCTATGTAATACCAGCTTCTGGAGAGTAGCTGTGGATCCCACTCCCTTCTGCTCGAGTTCTCTCAGTGACAGCAGCATTTCTTGGTCCATCATTGTGTCCAGAGATGACAAGCTGATTAAACTGCACTGCTGCTCAATTTCAGTGTTCTGGAACAATTACCAAAATGTTCATGACTCATCATTCTAATAATGAACATTCATTTTTATTTTATAAAAATAATACCCAGGGCTCAATGTAAGTGTCCCCATTCTAAATAGTCTTATGGAATCCTTCTATGTCCCCCTAAAAAACATTTTTACATTTTCTCTTTAGTATGACCTTAACTTACCATTTATTTGGTTCTTAAGAAAGTTCCATTTATCCCATGGATAACATTTACACGTGGTGATATAAACTGCTATGGCTCTAATTTTATGAAAATAAGGGAACGTATAGAAATTCACAGGAAAAAAAATGTTGGGATGGGGTGCTCAATAAATCCTACTAAAAACAGATTGATTTATTCAGTTTCCCTTCCATGTACAGAATATAATGTCCCACAAAGACTATTCCTTATACTTCTCTCAAAGTCTCTGTCTCATCATATGGTTGATATATGACAACAGTACATTTAACTTCCTTCTTGTTGGAAAAAGGTCAGAGGGCTCTTATCTCCAGATTCTAATTAAAAGCAAACTTCTTCATCCTTCTGTGGGGTATACCTCAGAGTCAGGACTTGGCCAGCTGTTGAACCCCGGCTGAGAGGTGCAGAACTTCACAAGCTGACACCCTGACACTGTCACCATCTCAGAGGGCTGAGGATGAAACACACTGCCGGGGCAGGTTTGCCATCAGTTCACTCAGTCTGGCAGTTTGGCTTGGTTTCAAACCCGCAGTAAAATGATGAGTATTTGAAACAATGTCAGGAAAGCACAGCCCCCGGCAGAATGTCCAAGGCTGCCTGAGAGCACGTCAGATGAAGGCAGCATATGTTGCCCCTGCATCCTTGGCAGAAGAAATTCAAACAGCATTTGCCCCAAAGACATTCTTCCTCCCCTTTCAAGGTCATAGCACAGCTGTCAACAGGAGGACAGTCTGACATATCCATTGTCCACAGACATGGAGAGACCATCAAAGTGGTGAAAAGAAAGCAATTTAATAATAAAGCATTTCCTAACATAATAAACACAAAACTGGAAAGTATAAAAGAGTGGAAATATAGCAATGGGGGGAGAGGGAGTCCCAACATTTAATTCCCCAAAAGGCTCTTGATTGTTCCCTACCACGCTGTAAAGAATTGGGTCTACCTAACAAATGGAGATTTTTTGAAAGTAATAATTCATTTTGCTATTTAAAAATTAGTCAGGCCATATCCATATTGTCTCAGTGGATAGAGCGTCCGCCTGCAGGCCAAAGGGTCCCAGGTTCGATTCCAGTCAAGAGCACATACCTTGGTTGCAGGCTCCTCCCCAGCCCGGGCCCTGGTCAGGGCTTGTACAGGAGACAACCAATCGATGTGTTTCTCTCACATCAATGTTTCTCTCTCTGTCTTTCCCTCTCTCTTCCACTCTCCCTAAAAATCAATGGAAAAATATCCTTGGTGGAGGATTAATAAAAAACAAAAAACAAAAAATTAGCCAGGAGGTGGGGGGTAACAGGGTAGGGGGGACATGGGAGATAGCTGTAACACTATTAACAACAAAATATATACTTAAAAATAAATAAAAATTAGCCAAAAACATATAAAATGCTAATTTCTGTTCAGAATGTAATCACCACTGTCAATAAATTGGCTTGGTTCAATGACATCCTAAAGCAAAGAGACTGCGTGCTGTTTCTGAGAACTCTGTGTAGGGTAGACACACTGTGAGGGACGGGGAAACACTGGAAAGTCGCTCATGGATCTCTACTGCACCTTTAAGACCCCAGGCTGGCGAACATGTATTTAGTTTGTCCTGAGAAATACAAGAATATAAAGATTTCTGAAATCCGGGTTCACTGAATGCACAGTTCCACAACCACATGCTTGACAGTTTTCAGCCATAACTTGAAACAGGTCCGTTCTCCCAGGCTGAGACGTTAGACTTGGATTCCAAAAACAGTCAGCAGATTCGCCTCAGAATGTCACAGGTGCTTTTCTGCAAGCTATGGACCTTCACTTCATGGTGCGTTATCCCACGTGGTGATTGTTTTTTAAAACTTCCCATTGATGATAGTTACCTACCTCTGCAGCCTGAGCAAGAATGAGTTCACAACGTAAAGATTTTTCTCCTTCGGAGATGATCCTCTTATGTTCTTCACTAACATTCAACTGGATCCCATTCCTTGAAAAACAAAAACACAAAACAAAAAAAACAAGAACAGTAATCCCATCTGGTTAGGTGTGCCTCCAACATTGTTTTCTTTCTTTCTTTTTTTTATATGCTTTTTATTGATTTTAGAGAGAGAGAGGGAGAGAGAGAGAAACATCTATCGGCTGCCTCCCACATGTACTCTGATTGGGAACTGAATCTGCAACCTAGGTATGTGCCCTGACTGGGAATCAAACAGGCCACCTTTTGGTGCATGGGACCAATTGAGCTACACCTACCAGGGCCCTGACACTATGTTTTGAGTCAGCAGATTAGGGCTTATTTATGACCAAACAATCAGTAAGCCTCCATGTGTACTTAGGATTGCGTAAGGTATGTAGGAATACAGAGACAAGAAGAGTCTCTGCCCAGACTACGCGCTGCATAGATTAGTGATGCTAGGTGGTTGCAAACAAGTAGGCCACACTTTTTAAAACATTTTTAATTTTAATTAATTAATTTTTATTTTTATTAATCGGAACCAGTAGTTAAAAATTAGAGCCTAGCTGGTGTGCTCAGTGGTTGAGCACTGACCCGTCAACCAGGAGGTGGCGGTTTGACTCCTGGTCAGGGTACATGCTCTGGTTGTGGGCTCGATCCCTAGTGGGGGACATGCAGGAAGCAGCCGATTGATGCTGATATTTCTTTCATTGATGTTTCTTTCTCTCTCTCTCCCTTCCTCTCTCCCTAAAATCAATAAAAATACATATTTTAAAAATTAGCAAATTTCACCAAAAACCTAGATTTCTGGCTTTTCTTAAAAAAAAAACGGAAGATGTGGCCACATTGGGTGCATATATTCTTGATGTAACCATTAGCTAGAGCTAAGCAGAGCAGCCCCCTCTGCCCTTGTTGGGGTAATGCACTTACCTCATCAGTAACTCTCATGATGCAAGTGTGTGCACTCACACCACTGGCTTTGTCTGCGGACTCCTGGACTAGATTAGACATGTTCGACAACAAATGTTTATAATATAAGGTGATGTATGTTAGAAAGGAGATAAAAACATGCACTCAAAAGGGTTACTTTGATCTCAAGGTAAGAGAAAACCAAGGGAAGGTCATGATAAAATTGTGAAGGAGTTCTGTTGGGAAAAAAAGCAGAGAAAAGAGCACTTACAAAAGTACAGAGGAAAAGAATGTGGCACATTCAAGAACTGCAGAGAGCTCAGTAGGCCAGTGACGTAGGGTAGAGGCACGTGAGAGAAGGCATGGGGGTTGCTGTGTACTACTTACATGATGAGTTCCTGTTGCAAGTGCTGTAACTCATGAGCCAGTTTGGTTTTTTCCCCTCGTAAATTCTGGAATCACATACAACATTAGGCTGTACATGCCCCTCTAGTGGGGAAATTACCTTTTATTTAACAACCCACCATTCAAACTCTGAGATTATTATGGTATACCTCTATAATGCTTCCATATTCTATGATGGTTGACTTAAGTTCTTCTATACTTAAATCTTTCTGAAAAGTAGAAGAGAAAATTAATAGCTAATAAATGCATGAGTCCACCAAATCATGTTTATTAGAATAATTATCGATCTGAGCCACAAAAAAATTATAATGCCCAATGAGATGAGCTCTTCTATCAATCATATTATTTAAAAACTGAACCAATCTGTGTTTGTGATTAAAGCCACACAAAAAGTATGGGGCAGTGAGGCAGCTGTACCTAACTGGTGATAGTATGCTCTGTGTCTGCCTAGTCCAGTGATGGCGAACCTATGACACACGTGTCAGAGGTGACACGCAAACTAATTTTTTGGTTGATTTTTCTTTGTTAAATGGCATTTAAATATATAAAATAAATATCAAAAATATAAGTCTTTGTTTTACTATGGTCTCAAATATCAAAAAATTTCTATATGGGACACGGCACCAGAGTTAAGTTAGGGTTTTTCAAAATGCTGACACGCCGAGCTCAAAAGGTTTGCCATCACTGGTAGTCTAATTGAACCAAACCCTGAAAGGTATATCTTAAGTCCAAGTCAAAATTATATTTGTTATCATTATACATTTAAGAAAAAAAATCAGTCTTTAACTGAGGACTAATGAATTATTAAGGCATCCAATTTTATTCAACTCACATGATATCTCTGTTAAAATCACAGTATTACACTAGAACACCAGAGAGGACAGGCAGTGTCTGGTCTACAATTGTATCCCATGATTAGCATGATGCCTGGAATGTGCAAATTGCCCCAAAAATGCCTATGAATACTGGGGAGGAGTGCAAAGTAGTGGAAAGATCAGAGGTATGGAGGAATTGAGCCACCTCTACTACCACAATGTCACTGTATGTCAGTATCTGGGTCAATGTCTACAAGCCATCAATGACTTCTTAAAAATGTCAAAACATGAATGGAAAGGAAGATAAATATTGCACTTTCTTTGCCTCCTTATCTTGAAATGTGGAAGTTTACTAACTTAGGGCTGTGTCCTTCTTATGTCACCATAACCAGAATCTCTGCTCCTTGTTACCAGATAGGCTATGATCATAGGATACAAGGATAAAGAGAATCTCTATTTATCATCTCTCTATCTGATCAATCAATGAAACCAGGAAGAAAATAACTTAGGGATATTTTTTTCTTCCCCCAAATGAATGACTGCGCACACATTTGTGTTGTTATGAATTAAAACTGCATCATTGTATCTAGCCTGATCGACTGCATCATTGACTGATAAATTGGCACACCAATATTGGTTGTGTAGATTAATGAACACCACCAGAATTTAGAGAGGATATGATGAAACTTATACTAGGTGAGTAAGTCAGTATTCTTTATTCAACAGAATATTTTTGAGAAGTTTATAAAGGAAATCTAATATTCTTAATAGAATATTATAATCAGATACTTTAATAGGAGTGAAGGTACACAAATGATCATCTCCTTTCTAATTGGGAGAGAGCTAGCCAATCCCACAGGACTTCATGTGAAGGGACAGACCAACCTTCTGCAAACTTGCATCTTTACTAAGCAAAGTGTTCTCATACACGTGTAACTCCATCTGAAAAGAAACAAAGTTAGTGAAGGCCACTGGGACGTTGCTTTGGTAAAGGGCAGTGCCACAAAATCATTTCAATAGGGAAACATGTTTCTGAAACACTTTTAACGTGTATATGTATTTCACTTTTTAAAGAACTTTCACATAAGCCTCAAAACAACCCTAGAGGCTGGGGTCATTGCTCTCACTTTATAAGTGAGGAAACTGAGGCTCAACACTAGTAGAGACTTGCCCAATGTCACACGCACAGTTAGTGACAGAACCAGAGCCTAGAATTTGAGTCTCCAGCTTCAGCCAAGTGCTTTTCCCGCCATTTCATATTTCATATAATAAGAGGACTTATAGAGTTTTTATTTTTTGGTGAAAATAAAATTCTAGATGTGACATTAACAAAGACTGCATGGGACATATAGAAAACTTCTCTTTTGAAAATTTAGTTTAAAGATGTTCAGGATTTCCTTTAGCAAGGTGAACAGTAAGGATACATCAGTTTATTCAAACCAAAAGCAAGCTTGTTGCTATAGGCTTCTAAATATAAGACAACAGATAGATATGTATAGTGATTGCATTGAAAACCTGAAAAAATAATCAGCATAGTCAGAAATAGGATCATCATCATAATCATATACTATTGTATTTGATATGCCTTTATAGATCTAAAGGTATTTTCACACGATCATCTCATTTGAGTTTGTGTATTAGGTAGAAAATATATCCATTTAGTAGATGAGAAAATTGAGACTTAAAGAGGTTAACTAGTTGCTTCAGATTACAAAGCTTCTAAATAAAAACACAGGATTTGAACCCGTGTCTTCTAGCTCTTTCCACTAGAGTATGACTAGATTAATTATGCTTTCCAAAGACAGCCATTCCTAGAATAAAATTAATTAATGTCTAAATTATAACTGCTATAATCCTATATAATAAAAGCATAGTATGAAAATTATCCCCTCGACCAGGAGTTTGTCTGGGAGTTCGACCAGGGGGCAGGGCCAGCTGGGGGAAGGGAGGGAGGCCCCAGCCAGCAGCTGGTAGCTGCTAGGGACTCTACCAGTGCACAAATTTCATACACTGGGTCTCTAGTATATGTATAAGTGTATACACACATGGAATTTGAATATCTGCTAGGAAACTTGAGTCTTCCACATATAGACTTGAAATTTAAGTACATCATCATTTCAAACATGTTCTACAATAAAAAAATATTGCTCAAATAAACCGTTAGAGGTTACAATAAGCATGACACAAATTCCTGAATTTATTAATAGTTGTCTTCTGTTTCCTGATAAGAATGTATAGAGAATAGAAAAAATATATATACAAAATATAGACTTTTAGATAAAAAATGATTTTTCTCTATATTGCAAGGTATTATTTCTTAATTTAATCAAGTAACGATTTATTTCCCCAGCTCTCCTCATTTTCCATGTTAAAAAGGTACAATTGTCCTGGCTGGAGTAGCTCAGTTGTTAGAGCATTGGCCCACACACCAAAAGTTCACAGGCTTGACACCTGGTCAAGGGCATGAACCTAGGTTGCAAGTTTAATCCCTGACCAGACACATGAGAAAGGCAACCAATGGATATGTCTCTCTCACATCAATGTTTCTCTCTCTCTCCCCCACTCCTTTCCAATCTCTCTAAAAAAAATTAATGGGAAAAATATTCTCAGGTGAGGATTAATGGGGGGTAGAGGAGGAAGGTAAAATTGCTGAAATCTTTCCTGACTTAGACCTTTAATTGATCTACCAAGGCTCAGGGTTGGAGGACACCCAGGCCCAGTAGATCCAGCCACAAATAGTGAATAGTGTGGTCACTTCAGACAGGTATCCCAAGGCTGGTTAATCACAATGTCTGACATTGACCTGCACTGGAACCCTGCCCAAGTGGACCCAGAACCAACACAACTAATGGTAGGCTTCAGGCACACCAGAACTCAACCCAACTAGCCATACAAGTGGCACACCTAACGGGGGACTCAGACCCTGTTGGGAACAACTCTGCTTTGGGAGGGGGGAGGGCAGCCCCTGCACAGAGACTCATACGTGGTGATTAAGATCTATTTTTATAGTCAGCCAGTCTGAGGGTTAACTCTTCCCACAAATGGACCAACAGCATTCAAAACTCAACTACGCAGGAGGGCACATATAACCCACACAAGAGATATTTCTGGAGAACTTAGCGCAGGTGATCAGAAGACTGTGCCACTGAGTCCAAGACACCTACATCATAAAGCCATCATAATAAATTTGAGAGACATAGGTAGTAAAATCTGAGACATTTCTCTTAGCAATATTTTTTTCTGATATATTTCCTGGGTCAAGAGAAACAAAAGAAAAAAGAAACAAATGGGACTCTCTCAAACAAAAAGCTTTTGCACAGCAAAGGAAACCAACAAAATGAAAAGACAACCCACCAAATGGGAGAACATATTCACCAATGATACAACTAATAAGAGATTACTATACAAAATTTATAAAAAACTTATAACACTCCACAAAAAAACTCAAACAATCCAATTAAAAAATGGACAAAGAACCTGAATAGACACTTCTCCAAAGCATACATACAGATGGCCAATAAAGATATGAAAAAGTGCTCAACATCAGTAATCATCAGAGAGATGCAAATTAAAACCACAACGAGATGTCACCTTACATCTGTCAGAATGGCTATTATCAATAAACCAACAAACAATGTGTTGGCAAGGATGTGGAGGAAAGGGAACCCTAGTGCACTATTGATGGGAATGCAAATTGGTGCCGCCCTTGAGGAAAACAGTATGGGGTTTCCCCCAAAAATTAAAAATGGAACTGTCTAATGACCCAGTGATTCTACTTGTGGGAATATATCCAAAGAAATATGAAACACTATTTTGAAAGAATATGTGCACCCCTACGTTCATGGTAGCATTATTTATAATAGCCAAGGTTTGGAAGCAACCCAAGGGTCCATTAGTAGATAAGGGGATAAAAAGTCCATGGTACATTTACACAATGGAATACTACTCAGCCATAAACAAGAAGAAAAACTTACCTTTTGTGACCACATGAATGGATCTGGAGAGTATTAGGCTAAGCAAAATAAGCCAGTTTGAGAAAGACAAATACCATACGATCTCACTTTTATGTGGAATCCAATAAACTAAGAAAAAAAAATAGAAACAGACCCATACAGACAAAGAACAGACTGACAGCTCTCAGAAGAGAGGGTGTTTTGGGGATTAGTGAAAAAGATGAAGGGATTAAGCAAAAAATAAAAATAAAAAACAGACATAGACAACAGTGTGGTGATTACCAGAGAAAGGAGGAGGCGGGCAAAGGGGGATACATGGTGTGAAAGAGACTTGACTTTGGGTGTTGAGCGCATGATGCAGTATGCAGAAGTGGTATAGACTTGTACACTTGCAACATGTATAATTTTATTAACCAATGTCACCTCAATAAATTCAATAAAAAATAAAACTGGTTTTGATGATGGTTGCACAACTCTGAACATATTAAAAAGCACTGACTTGTACATTTTTAAGTGGGTGGATTTAATGGCATGTGTATTATTTATCAGTAAAACTGTTACATTAAAAAATAGAGATTGCCCTTTATATAACTCAGACATCTTGAGGAGTACAGATTTTAAAGCTTATAGCAAAAGGTTATTGTACCAATAAGTCATACACACCTTTATAGAGTAATATTTAGCTTGATGGAAGAAAATGTTTTACCAGTATTTGGGAAATGCTTACTTGGTGCTCTGTCTCAGTTTTAGACAATTCCTCAATATTCTTTTCCAATGCATATATATCCATAACATTCTTGGTATTCTAATGTAAAAAAGATAGTATTCTTTGATTTAGTCCAAATATAAAAAATAAGAGACCATCTTAAAGTCTTTTTTAGGAAGAAGTACTTTCATCATTATCATCATAATCCATTTTAAGTTAAGGGACAAAACTTTAGATAACATGGGCCTTTTAACATAACATCTAGGAAGCCCCTTATTATCTTACATTCCACCACAGCCATTCACTCCCTAGTTCTCACCTTTTACACTTGTCATTACCAGTAAGTGTGGCCCTTTCATTATATTGACTGCAAGTTTCTCCCTCTTCAACCACCACTTGTCTTCCCAGATTACTTCTTTGAGCACCAACAAACCTCAATCTCCACTGAAGCCTGCAATCTGCTGATCTGACCACCTTCTCATTATTCTTCCACTTTTCTTGTGAACTTGGCCCATCTTTACTCGGCTTAAATTATTCTGTGGTCATTCCATACAATCACCCTCTTCCACATCCGCTCAATTCCCTTGCCTCTCCCCTACTTCTTAGTATTTGCTTAATTTGAGCTTTCCATTCACTCTGTGCCAGCACCCTTCCAGATGAACATTGTTAAAGAAAAACACAAATGAACCCACAGCTCACATGTTAAATTTATCACCTTTCACCTCTATGTTCACTGGTGATCATATCATATATAATCCTATTCCATTCTTCTGGCCATTTTTGTAAATCAGGGATTTGCAAACTACACTAACTTTCCTACCCCAGCCACACAGGCCAGCTCTAATTGACACCCTGGTTTGTAAATAAAGTTTTATTAAAAAACTACTGTGTCCATTTGTTTTTATATTATCTCTGGTTGCTTTCACACTACAATGGCAGAAGTGAGTGGCTGTGTCAAAGCTTTTTAGCCAGGAAACCCTATAAATACTTACTATCAGGTCCTTTACAAAAAGTTTGCCAACTCCTTGCTTATTTTATCCCTTCTCTCGTCTTGAATTTCCAATACCACTTCCAACATCCTCACTCTCAGTTGATAACTTCATATTTCACTGAGACAATTTTAGAAACATAAGAGAACTTTCAGAGTACTGCAATATATAATAAATACCTTTGGATATACTACGAAGCATTTGCTGATCTGCACACTTCTTTCCAGCACTACTGCTTTTGCCTGGATTATTCCAAGGGCCTCCTAATTGGTCTCCCAGTTTCTATCCCACTCTGTAAACAGCCGGAGTCCATACAATGCCCATATAAGACCTTATGGGTTTGGCTCCAGGCAGCTCTCTGCCACACTTCTTGCTACTTATTTCCTCTGATCCAGCCATACTGATCTTCCTGTCCCTCAATAACAGCAGGCATGCTACAGCCTGAGGTCCTTGAGCTGGCCATTTCTTCTGCCTGGAATGTTCTTCCACAGATAAACCTCCTTTCCAATTTTTAGCCAGATGAGTAATTTCACGGGCTACTTTTATCCTAACCACGCTAGTTTAAATTCTACTCCCCACAATTGTTTTCACTTCTCTTTTCTCCACAGCACTAGTCACCATCTAACATGCTAGCTCCACAGGAGCTATTTTGCTTAAGTTTGTTTCCTCGGCGTCTAGAACAGTGCCTAGCACGTAAAGGTCTCCCAAAGATATGTGTTAATGAATGAATGAATGAATGAATGAGTGTGAATACCCAAACCATTGTGCTGTTACTCTTCACAATGCATCAGATTTTTGCCTCCAAAAGGAATCTTAGCTAGCAGTGACATTGACGTGCCTTTTCTAATGGAAATCAGTCATTGCAATGCTGTGAAGGGTTCCAAATCTCCTTCCTCCCATCTTAATTCTAAACTGATTTGGTACAATTCTTTGATGCTAGTCAATCATCTTATATGCGAGGAGAAAAGCATCTGACCTTGGGAGCTTAACTGTAAAGCACTAGTTTTTGTAGCTATAACATGTCTGAATCTAAGGTAGGGTTTCTTTCCAATCTTTGTTTCTTTTTTAACCCACCAAGAAATTTTTTAATGTTCATTTGGTCCATAGTTTGGATAACTCTCCAGATTTTTCATCACAGCTTAATAAATAATAAACTTTTATAAAGCCCCAATTTTAAAATGTGCATAACACTTGCCATTCAAAATGTACCTACATAGAATTTCTCTCCAAAATAGTAACGAGTAGCTTTGTTACCCATTCTTTCATTGCTTTGATTCTGTTGCTTAAAAATATATATTGCATAGAATTATTCATTTTTTAGAGATCTTACTCATATTTCCTAACATATATGAGGTACATTATAATTAAACAAATGGGTTCACCTGCATTATCTTTATCTCTAAAATAACTGAGGGAACAGGTATTTTTAGCTCAAAAAAGATAAATGTCTTTTCCAAGGTCAGACTTGCAGTGAATTTAAGATCTGGGTCTTAGATTCAAGACATTTGCCACCTAGTTCAGTAGAATAATAACAGAAAGGTAATATATAATTTCTACATTTTCCTTCTCGATTTGTATAGTTTTTAGATGCGTTAATTTCACTTCATCTTAAATCTGAATTTTTAAAACCCCACTTCTTCCATGGACATATACAAAGGTAATAAGATACTTCTGTCCAGACATGAAAATCCTATCCCCTCTCCCTCATTTGTCATTTGACAAAGCAACCTGGGTTTTGGCCCACGGGAGTTTGAATACTCACATCATTTCTATTTAACCCGGGGTCAGGACCCATGATTGATTGATTCTATCAGTTTATTGGTGCCCATGTTTAATGATTTTAACATACCTCCTCTTGGAGAATCCGAACCTTAAGAATCAGAGCCCGGTTTTCTGCCTCCTGATTCATTAAAAGAAAAGTCATTTAAAAATATTTTAGAAGTTTATGAAAATACCACATATTTACCGCAAAGACTATCAACATTGTTTCTCCTTATTAGTTTTAAACATGGCATTGACATATCACAAATGAGCCTAGCCTGAAAATATTTCCAACATGGGCTTAAGTCTGTGGCTAACAGTTTCTTGGGATCTGTGAGAAGTCACTCTTCTCCTTGACTTAATCTATAACAATAGGAAGGAAAGACTAAAAACATAAAAGAAAGTGCCTGGCTTCTTGCCCTGCTACTTCCCGCCATCCACTTATGACAGGTACTATGAACTCATCTATTTAAACAGCACTTTGAAATCTTAAAGAAATCTAGCTTTCTACTTGAAGCTGTTGATATTCCCAGATTCAACATTACCATATGACTATAAAAAAATTATTTTCTAATGAAGAGCCCCAAACTCAGAACCCTCAGAAGAAAAAAAATATTCCAGGACAAAATAAATGCCAAAATGTTAACGATAAACATATTGTTATGGTAGGATAAATATATTGATATGGTAGGATAAGAATTTAGTGGGAGTTTTTTTGTTAATATGCATTTCTTTATTTTTATAGAGTAACTAGGAATTACCTTCCTATATAATAAAACCCTAATATGCAAATCGACCGAATGGCAGAACGACTGGCAAAATGACTGGTCACTCTGATGTGCACTGACCACCAGGAGGCAGACACTCAATGCAGGAGCTGCCCCCAGCCCGCAGGCCCTGATCAGTGGCAGAGGCGGGGGGTGGGGCCAGCGAGCAGGCAGTGCCAGGTCTGCCAAGGCGGGTGCCAGCGGGGGCCCCCCATTGTCCCACTGGTCACCCCGCAGATCAGCCCTGATGACCGGCCAGGCCTAGGGACCCTACCCATGCACAAATTTCATACACCAGGCTTCTAGTTATAATATAAAAATAAAAGGGAAAACATGTCAGGCTAGGTTGTCATTAATACAAGAATGAAGGAACACCCCTGCCCCATGCACACATAATTGGAATCAGAAGACCTGAGTTCAATTCTAGCTTTATCATTTATTAGACAATTGACTTTGAATAATCAAAACATCTCTGGACTTTACCTATAATTATATTAATTTTTACATGAAAAATAGCTACTTCTGTTTCTACCTCAATGAATTTCCATGATTACCAATGAAATATTCAAAATTATTTTAAAATTTAAAACACTATATAATGCAAAGAATTAGAATTGCATATCTAGGACTCTTTGCTTTTAATAATAGCTAGTATTACCCAGCCCTAGGAGGAAAGAGGACATTACGTGCTTTCCATATATTAACTCATATAACCTTCTCAGACCTAGGGTCTCAGGACACTGAGGCTTAAAGAGGTATGTAGTTTGTCTAAAGTTACACAGCTCCAGGAGTCAGGACTTGACTGCTGGCCCTCTGATTTTCAAGGGTAGGTTCTTGATAATTTCTCTACATTACATCCAGATAAAAGCTCTTCATTGGCCCCAAATCGAATATTTCCTGTAGTGCATTCATAGACACTTACAGAGTCACCTGACACTCAGTGAGTCTAGTCCCACATTTTACTATTGAGGTAAGAGCTAAGCTAAGCTGTGTTGGTTGTGGGAGGTCACGAGTGACTGACACAGACCTGGAGCCCGTCTCTTGACGAATTACAGACCTAAAAATAAACTAGTCTGAATGACTTTCAGCTGACCCCACCGTCATTAGCAATGCTAGAATACTACTGCTGTAATATATCACTAAAAATAACAACTTAACATTCTCAATAAAAATGTTTATGTACTTCTCTGTTTAGTTAAAGCTTAGCTTAAATAGCAATTTGCTCTAAAAATTACAAGCCTGTACTGATTTAGTATAAGGACTGATTTATGGAGCTTCTTAGTAATCTGGAAGTATTGGGAAACTTGATCTTTTTTTTTTTAACTGAGAAAAAGTTGAAAGTTTGATGGAGAATTAAAAAAAAATTCAAGTGGATTTTGGTATTAGGTACTTATGAATTCACCTATCAACTTCAGGATGCATTTTAGAGATCTTCTAGATCTTCACAAACCATTGTGAATATGACCAAGCCATTTTTAAATAATTTTAATCTTGGTTGAAAAGGAAAATACAGGTTTTCATCCTACCTGCCTTAACTTTTTAAAGGTGTTACCGTTATTCATTTATCAGACTATTGGCTGACTTTTGCCTCCAAAACCCTCTTGGTGTTTCAAGGAACTTGGATGACTTACTAATTGTTTGTTCTGGGCTACAATTGTGGTCTTCTGCTCTTCTGCAGCACTCATACTAGTTTTCAGTTCCTCTAGTTCTTCTTGTAACAGATTTGTTCTCATCATAGCCTGGTGGGCACTGTGGAGGTGGGGGTGGGGGGGAAGAAGGTGATGAGCAAAACCTCAAGTGTAACTGTCAAACATGCTAAGAAAAACCAAGGACTATTTTTAGATCCAAGTTGAAAACCACTGAAAATATAAACCAGATGCCAACAATAGTAAAAATATACCCACTATCTTTCATAGTCCTTGGTAAAGAAAGGGATTTCGGGGCAGGTGATGGTAGGGGAAAGTGATAGAAGGAAAAAAACATATTCCCAAAGATAAAGATTTGGAGACTCCCTTTGAAATCCTCATTGGCTGAATCCCACAGTTCTTTCCTTCTACTAATAAGATGTAATATTAGTTAGTGCAATTCCACAAATATTTATTCAATAATAGCATGTTCCAGGTGCTGTACCCTGCAAGGGGCCCATGATGGTGGACAAAAGGGACAAGGCCCTTGCCCTCGAGCAGATTAACACTAGTCAAGGAGATGACAGCTGAAATGTATACACACTTCAATAGTTGATAACTCCCTTTTCACTCCTTTTCAGGTTTAACTGATTTGAAATAATGGGTGAAGCCAAACTAAGGTTTGGACAAAGAAAATTTATCCTAAAGTGCCACTAGACTGTTTTGGTTTTTTTAATGGGGATACATAAAAGATAAAGTTTACAGTACAAAACCAACAGCAGTCGAGTTGGAGGCACACAAATACCAAATGAAATGATTCTTGAAGTTTGTAATTCCGTTGCTTCGCATTATCAGCAGTGCCTCGACCAGAATGGTCATCAGTTTGAAAACAGACATTGACAAAAAATTATTCATTTCTGTAGATTATTTTAAATTTTGAAAATGAACTGTATGTTAATAAACACTGACTTTATAATCATTCAAAGTATGTATACATTTTTGGGGACACCTTGTATTTTATTTTAAAGGTTATTATAGCATTGTTTACAGTAACAAAGCACTGAAAACAGCCTAAATGTCCAACTAAGAAAGCTTATTAAATGTATGATGGTAATCCATATCATGGAATTACCTAGTTGTGCTCCCACTAGATTATAAACTGTTTTCTGCGCAGAGTCTCAAAGAAGGTACAATGTGTGCCTTATTAAAGAATTACATTGGTCATTCAACATATATTTGTTGAGCTCCAACTCTGTGCCAGGCATTATGCTAGATACTAGAGAGAAAAAAAGTAAATCCAGTCACGAGAACTCTACCCTCCTGGAATATATGGTCTAGTGGGGGTAAACAGAAAATCATCATTTACAATACAGTGTGACAAGAACTAAGGTTGGAGTGAACCCAAGTTCTGCAGACACTGTGTTAAAGGCAGACAGTTCAGATCATGATAAAGAAGAAGAGGAAGGGAGGGAGAGAACAGAAGCTCGCTGGGGGGCTGCAAGCAGTTAGATACTGTTAGAGCCTAGAGTGGAAAACGAGAAGTAGAAATAAGGCAACAGAGGCCCCACCATGAAAGGCTTTGCAAACCAGATGAAAGAATTTAGATTTTTATCCCGAATATGTTAGGGCTCCATTGACGTGTTTAGGGCAGAGGCATAATGTAGTCAGATGGGCCTTTAGGAAGAGCATTCCCCTAGGTGTGACACTTTTGGAAAAGGCAAGGAACCTAATCAGGAGGTTGCTGTCATGATCCAGGAGAAAGGTAATGCTGACTTGAACTACGTGACAGATGTAGGAATGAAAAGAAGTAAATCTATTTGAGAGACATAAAGTAGGTCCATTGAACAGGCCTTGCTATTTGATTTAGAAGCGAAGGCTGAGGAAGAAAAAGGAGACGAAGATTTCTGGCTTGCAGGCAACTGGAAGGATGAGAGAGCTCTTCTGTGGCAGACATTCTCCTAAGCACTGGGGTAATCAGGGTGGGTAAGATTAAGTTCCTCCTGTTAACAAGGGGCAGTTCATATAGAAGACAAGTTATACTACAACCAGACACCTGTACAATATCAAAAATAGGCTGTGAGCGATGAAAGGAAACAGAGGCCCTTTCTGAAGGATTAGGGGAAGGAGAAAAGCGAAGGACAAAAAGCTTAATTTTGGCCGAAACCGGTTTGGCTCAGTGGATAGAGCGTCGGCCTGCGGACTCAAAGGTCCCAGGTTCGATTCCGGTCAAGGGCATGTACCTTGGCTGCGGGCACATCCCCAGTGGGAGATGTGCAGGAGGCGGCTGATCGATGATTCTCTCTCATCGATGTTTCTAACTCTCTATCTCTCTCCCTTCCTCTCTGTAAAAAATCAATAAAATATATTTAAAAAAAAAAAAAAAGCTTAATTTTGTCGACATTGGCATTCTGGCTGCTCATCTTGATTCTCTAGCCTTTCTGTCCTTCTGTGAGGAATCCAATTCCCTTCTAACACATTTCTTTACTGCTTCAGTTAACCAGAGTCCGCAGTAAAGAAACGTGTTACAACCAAAAGCCCTAATCGACACGTTCACCCAATGCATAGTTGTTTTTAAAATCAACTTTAACTTCTTATATTTCACATAAATAATAAATAATTCAAATGTGGAATGGCAAGAGCTTGAGGTAAGCATATTGTTACTGTTTATACTTTGGTTTGGAGGCTGGATTGGCTGGTCAAAAAATTACGAGGATATGTGTCCACGGTCAAAATGCTCTACCGTCTTTTCAAGTAAACTTACAACTTTCCATTCAGAATATTAGCACCTGCATCTTAAACACAACTCAGTGAGAACCTGTTGCTTCTTTTCTGATGGTCAAGCATCTTCCTGCAACCACTTCACCAGTGTCGGGCACTACCTGGTAGTCTCCTAGGTGCTTTTGGCCTTTCCAACTTAAGCTAAGGTCAGGAACTTCCTTATCATCCTTCTAGGGTATAGGTACCGTGAGGGCACATTTTAAATCTAACTCATCAACAAATCTCTCATAATACTTAGCATGTGACAGCATAGAATAAGGGCGTAACAAAACCACACAACTTCTCTGGATACGTCCACATCTGGCCCCTTGGTGTCATGGTGTTCCCTAGAGAACACGACCTTGAGTGACTTAGAGAACATCATTGCTAGAAAATAACTGACAGAAATTACTCATGGGAATATAAAATGGTACAGCTGCTTTGGAGAACAGTTTGGCAGCTCCTCAAAATGCTAAGTGTAGGTTACTACCCAGCAAGTACACTCCTAGGTATAGACCCCAAAGAACTAGAAACATGTCCACACAAAAACTGGTACACAGGTGTTCAGAGCAGCAATGTTCACGGGAGCCGAAAGTGGAATAACCCCAGGGTCCATCCTCTGAAAAATGAATAAACAAAATGGCATATATCCATACAATGGGCTGTTTTTCACCGAATAGAAAGGAATGAAGTACTGGTGCAGGCTACAACATGGGTGAATCTTGCAAACATATGCTAAGTGAAAGAAGCCAGTCACAAAGGACACAGATTGTATGATTCCATTTATATGAAATGACTAGAAAAGGCAAATCCATAGAGGCAGAAAATACATTAGTGGCTGCAAGGTACAGATTGAAGCAGGTACTGAGGAGTGACTGCTATTTCATGTGGGATTTCTTTTTGGAGGAATAAAAGTGTTCTGGAATTAGATCATGATGGTGGTTGCACAATCTTGTGAATATACCAAAAAAACACTGAATTGTACAGTTTCAATCGGTAAATTTTATGCGATGGGAATTATATCTCAATAAAAAGCATATTTTTTAAAGTAAAAGCCACCCTGAAAACTCCAGCATGCAGCCCCACAGCCGTACTCCTCAAGGGCTCACCTTTTTATCTGCAGGCGCAGTTCAGTACAGTCCTCCGATAACCGGCTGTTAGCTTCTTCCAAGGTTTCCAATGCCAGCTTGAGCTGATTATTTTCCTCTTCCAGTTTCTGCTTGTTGAAATGCAGCTCTTCTACATAGGTAATCAAGTCAGACACCTCTCTGCAGAGGAAATAAGGAGTAAGAATAAATAATCTTCAATATATCTAATTCCTTCCCATCAAAATAAGGCATATAGTTAAGCCCAAACAGGCTTACATATTCCCGCAAGATTTTCTACTTTATCACCTTCCATCCTCATTAATGGAGTTTATTTATACAATAAACATTCATTCAAGCATCGATTATAATAGCATCAAAGATTAGTCCAAAATTGTCGGGTATGCATCATCTGCCAGTTATCAAGCCAACTTGCACAGCTTTTGTTCATTCCTTTCCACTTCACTCCCAACTTTTGTACCATCTACACTGGCGAGTTCCTATTTCTGCCTGTGTTATGGACGATCCTGAAATAAATGGACACATTACTCTCTCAGTCAAGGGATCGTGGCAGGTTTTAATAGGCCTTTAACTAGGAAACAGTGTTTGGAGTTTTACATTTGTAGCCTGTACCTCTCGACTTAATGTTCATGTTCCCTAATATTTTCTACAGCTTGTTAATGTTTGTGTCTCTCTCGCCACCAACATTAGATCATAAACCCTGTGAAAGCTTGGATTGCATATTTCATGGAGTTCCCGGCCTCCTCTTCTTCTTTGCCAGCTTACCACAGGTCTTAGCAAAGACTGGGTAGATGGGTTTTAAACCACCTTTTTGCATGATGAAATCTGAAGTGGCAAAGATAAACTAAGGGAGAGACAGCATCACCTCCCCCTGATATTTAAAATACACATTTAGCCAAAATGCTAAAGTTGTATCTATTAAAGAAGTGCTTTAAAAATAACCCCTCACCACATGATCTCACTCACTTGTGGAATATAAAGAACATTATAAACTGTTGAACAAAAATAGATAGAGGCAAAGAAGCATCAAACAGACTGTCAAACTTCATCAGGAAGGCCAGGGAGGGTTGAGGGGGTAAGAGATCAATGGAAGGACTTGTATGCATGCATATAAGCACAACCAATAGACACAAGACACTGGGGGGGAGGGGGGCGGGTGAGTGCAAGTGCTGGGGGTAGGGGAGGTCTAGGGGAGGTCAATGGGGAAAAAAAGGAGACATATGTACTACTATTTGTAATACCTTAAACAATAAAAATAATAATAATCCTTCAACCAAAGAACTTGTATGCATATATGCATAACCCATGGACACAGACAATAGGGTGGTAAAGGCCTGGGGCAGAGGGTGGTGACGGGCTAGAAGGGGTCAATGGGGAGAAAATGGGACATATTTAATACTTTCAACAATAAAGATTTTTAAAAAATAACGCACCAAAGAACTTAAGGTCAATGTCATACTCTACTTCAAATGGGACTTGTTTTCCATGGAAAACACATGATGTCAGTGAAGGAGAAGGGTTTCATGAGTGAGAAAATGTTAATTTATGTCTTACATAAATTAGTTCAAATACAATTAAGATAGAATCATTAATAATTAAAAATAAATGATGGCAACACTAGTACACACACACAAAAAGGGCTAAGTGACTTCATCATAAGTAAAATATATAAATCTATAAAATAAATAAAAGTTGGGGCACTTGAGAAAGCATGACAGCTAAGAATGCTTACAAGATTCCTCTAGACACGTCTCCGCCCAAAGCCTTGAAGTTCCCTGATGCAGACTCTGTTATATTTGTGATCATCTTAACTGAAACACATACAAGAGAGAATAATGAAAACCCACTTCTTCAAACCACAAGACAGTGGCAGAACAATAGCAAGAAAACCCATACATACTTGCTCTCCCTGATTTTATGCTGTCCTGGTCAAGGGCAGAATCATCCATGCTGCTGCCTGGTCCACTATTCACTCCTTCACTGTGGGCAAAAAAAACCCCAACAAAACAAAACAACAACAACAGAAACCAATGAGCTAGGATTCTTTGCCAGATCAAAGCTTAGCTAACTTTTCAGATATACTCTGGATTTTCCTATTCAGGTGTTTGTTTCTGGATTTTAAAAACTCTATTCATTCAGCAACTAAATGGAGCCCAATATGGTGCTTAAATAGGGTAATAGAAAAGAAATGTAAGGCATTCATTCCTTTCACCTTCCGTAACCTTTTAATTTAACATGAAGAAGAAAATGAGAAAGTTCACAAAAAAAGAGAAAAGTTAAAACCATCATGGAAAAGATAATAATGTTGGAATATATTCTTTTCAACTTTTTCCTATGCATATTTTTACAAGTATGGGATTATACTGCAAATATGGATTAATTGCCTATTATTTGAAATACATACATATACATGAATATTTCTCTTGTCAAATATTGATCTAATCATAATTCTGAGTGACTATTTAAGATTCTAGTGTATGGAAGTATTATAATTTATTTGTCCAACTCTCTGATTTTAAATAGTTAGGTTGCTTATATTTATCACTATCATAAACAGCATTCTACACATATATTAGAGTACATGATTGGTTATTTTTCTTAAACTTACATTACTAGCTTGAACATATCACATATTTTTAAGGGTTTATATGCATTCCTAAATTGCTCATTAAAAAAACCAACCTGCACTACTACCAACAATGTATGAGGGTGGGCTTAATTCTCCACCTGCTCTGACAACATAGGAGAGAGTAATTCTTTTACAGCTTTGCTAAACCAATGGGCAAATATGGTACATTGTCTTTATTTGCATTTCTTTGATTACTAATAAGATTAGGTATCCTATCTAATAAAAGACAAAAAGGGTAATTGACCGTACCTTCGCTACACTTCCCATTGGCTAATCAGGGCAATATGCAAATTAACCACCAACAAAGATGGCGGCTGGAAGCCACAGAGTTGGAGCGAGCAGGAGGCTTGCTTGCTCCAGTGATGGAGGAAGACAAGGTTCCCGCCTGCTGCGGCCTGGCTCTGAGCTCCAAAAGCAACAAAGTTTCAATTATAGAAGCTAAACAAACCCCAAATACCTGCTTTCAGCAAGCCGTGGCCTCAGAGCTGGAGCGAGCAGGACCCCAGCTCTCAGCTCCAGTGACGGCAACAAAGTTTCAATTATAGAAGGTAAATAAATTCCAGAATTTAAAAAAAGAAAAAGAAAAAAAGGAGAGGCTGGGAGCTTCAGTCGCTGGCCAGCCTGAAAGCAGCCCTCAGCCCCTCACCCAGACTGGCCAGGCACCCCAGTGGGGACCCCCACCCTGAAGGGTGTGTGACCAGCTGCAAACAGCCATCATCCCCTCACCCAGGCTGGCCAGGCAACCCAGTGGGGACCCCCACCCTGATCCAGGACACCCTTCAGGGCAAACCAGCCAGCCCCCATCCATGCACCAGGCCTCTATCCTATATAGTAAAAGTGTAATATGCAAACTGACCCTAACAGCAGAAAGACTGGGAATGACTGGTCACTATGATACACACTGACCACTAGGGGGCAGACGCTCAATGCAGGAGCTGCCCTCTGGTGATCAGTGTGCTCCCACATGGGGGAGCTCTGCTCAGCCACAAGCCAGGCTGATGGCTACCAGTACAGCAGTGGTGGTGGGAGCCTCTCCTGCCTCCTCAGCAGCGCTAAAGATGTCTGACTGCAGCTTAGGTCTGCTCCCCGCTGGCAAGTGGACATCCCCCGAGGGCTGCCGGGCTGCCAGAGGGATGCCTGATTGCCAGCTTAGGCCCAATCCCCTGGGGAGCAGGCCTGAGCCAGCAAGTGGTCATTCCCTGAGGGGTTCCAGACTGCAAGAGGGCACAGGCCGGGCTGAGGGACCTCTTCCCCCCCACACACACCCAAGTGCACAAATTTTTGTGCACCGGGCCTCTAGTATTTATATATTTATCTTGCTTTCATGATTAACTCATGTATGTTAAACACCACTTTGGTAGTCTTCTTTTTTTTTAATATAGTTTATTGATTTTTTACAGAGAGGGATAGAGAGTTAGAAACATCGATGAGAGAGAAACATCTATCAGCTGCCTCCTGCACACTCCCTACTGGGTATGTGCCTGCAACCAAGGTACATGCCCTTGACCGGAATTGAACCTGGGACCCTTCAGTCTGCAGGCCGATGCTCTATCCACTGAGCCAAACTGGTTAGGGCTGGTAGTCTTTTCTTAAGTCATCGATATATCTTAACCCTATGTGGAATCTAGCAAGTGTTACCACTCTCTGGGCTTGAAGTTTTCTTTAAGCAAATCCCTAGCACCTATCAGCTGATAGCTAGAGATTGGTGGCTAAGTGAAAGCCACATGAATTTCCTGTGAAAGAAGGTGACTCTTCAGTATTCACCAGGGGCACCTGAGATCATGGTGTCATTCTTCTCCATAATTTTTTTCTATCCCACTATATATTTCCTTTTCCCTTTAGCTTCCCTATATCCAAGGCTTCTAAATTACACTCACTGCCTAAACATCCGCACTGACCTCAAAAGGGTGTTCACTCTGAGTGTAAGTACATTTGGAGATTTGGTGGTCAGTATCAATAATTTGCTTGACCCCTATGCCAGCGCAATTCTTTTTGAGAACACAGTATGTGCTGCCCCCTAATCACAAAAAATAAATGTTATTAGAAATAACATAGTTAACATAGTAGGTTCTCAAAGGGTGCCCATCATCGGCATCACCAGGAAACACATAGAAATGCAAATGATCAGGCTTCACCCCAGACCTACTGAATCTTGGCAAGGATGGTGCGGGGGCATTGACCAGGAATCAGATACAATATTGTTCAGGTGATTGCAATGCATGCTCAAGTGTGAGAAGCACCAGATCACAATATTTCCATCCACAAAGAAACCAGGGATTAGCATTAACTGTAATCAGTTGTTAAAACAACCTGAAAATGCTTCCTGCTGATGACCATTTGATTCTACAGCAAGCCATCCATCCTTTCATGATGGCGTGGAAAGTTTCCAGATCCACATGCAGGTCTCTCCTGTCAGGATCAAGCATGTTCCATAGCTCCTCAAAGCCACCGTCTTTAGAATCTTGACTAGTTATTTGTCTGAGGTAATCTATTATTTTGACAATTCTTACTGAGCCTTAGGAAAAGAAAAGGCAAATTAGTTTTGAAAGATGGGTTAAGAGCATTTTTTATAAGTGAGGTGTTTAATTCTCCCAGGTTCCTTGGATCCTGTGAACATGCCCTATGACAGTGATGGCGAACCTATGACACACGTGTCAGAGGTGACACACAAACTCATTTTTTTGGTTGATGTTTCTTTGTTAAATGGCATTTAAATATATAAAATAAATATCAAAAATATAAATCTTTGTTTTACTATGGTTGCAAATATCAAAAAATTTCTATATGTGACACGGCACCAGAGTTGAGGTAGGGTTTTTCAAAATGCTGACACGCCAAGCTCAAAAGGTTCGCCATTTCTTTGTTACTAATGTGGCCTCACCCCATAACAAAGAAACAGAATTTCTGGAGGATGAGGCCCAGAAATCAGGATTTTAAAAAGATTCCCAGGTGATTCTAATGTGCAGCCAAGGTTGAGAACCACTGTGCTAGAGGGCCAGACCATTATAGGGAAGCAGGTTGTTTACCACGACAGTAGAAGTGATTTTTTTCTGAAGATATGGGTAAACAACGTGATTTAACAGCCTTTGAAAGTGGGATATATTTGAACGTGAGTGGCCAGATTATTATGACCACCCCATCAGTACTTCGTTGGGCCACCTTTTGCCTTCAATACTGTGGTGATTCTTCTTGGCATTGACTCCACGAGATGTTGAAAGGTGATGCGAGGAATCTGACACCATGCCTGATGAATAGCACTGTCCAGTTCTGTGAGATTTGATGGTTGTGGAACCAGCTGCCTGATGGCTCTTTTAACTTCGTTCCACAAATGCTCAACTGGATTGAGATCTGGTGATTATGGGGGCCATCTAAGCAAGGTAAAGTCTCCCTCATGTTCTTGAAACCACTCCTGCACAATACGAGCACCGTGGCATGGTGCATGGTTCCTTGTTGGAGGAAGCCATCTCCATTTGGATACGCCATTAACATGATAGGATGAACTTGATCAGCAATGATACTTAGGTATGTTGTGCTATTCAGACGTTGTTCCACACGAATTAAAGGGCCCAAATCATGCCAGGAAAACATGATTATGTTTTCCCAAACCATGGTATGCCCCAAACCATAACACTGTCCCCACCAGCTTGAAGGGTTGTACTCATGCAGGAGGGGTGCATGCTTTCATGCTGTTTCTGCCAACTTCTCACTCTGCCATCTGCATGATGCAACTGGAAACGTGACTCATCAGACCACATGACTTTTTTCCAATGCTCAACTGTCCAATCCTTGTGTTCCTGTGTGAATTGGAGACGTTTTATCTTGGTAACTGCAGACATTAAAGGTGTTTGAACAGGCCTTCGGCTTCCATATCCCAAACGATGCAGTATACAGCCAATTTACCTGCAAACATCAGGTGGTCATAATAATCTGGCCACTCACATCCAAATATATCCCATGTTCAAATGCTGTTAAATTGCATTGTTTACCCATATCTTCAGAAAAAAAATCACTTCTACTGTCGTGGTAAACAACCTGCTTCCCTATTTATAATGGTCTGGCCCTCTAGCAACTTCAGCGTGAAATTATAGCTAATTTGCCTACAAATGTCAGGTGGTCATAATAATCTGGCCACTCAATATATATATATATGCCACAACTTTTATTCTCAAATGATGAGAAACACAATCAAGCTTTTATCCTGTCTCCCCTATGAGAAAGGAGACTGAGGACAACAAAATAGTTGATGGAGCAGAGTAGAGTTTCTCTTGTAGATTATTCCAGCTGATAAATTAGGAAGGAATGCTCCAGCTGATGTGGCTCAGCTGGTTGGAGCATAGTCCCATGCACCAAAGGGTGGTGGGTTTGACTCCTGGTCAGGGCACATACCCAGGTTGTGGGTTCAATCCCTGGCTGGGGCATGTGCAGGTAAGCTGTGCCCAGACCCCTAATCCACAGAAGTTGTGAGGTAATAAATGTATGTTGTTTTAAGCCTCCCTCCCTCCCTTGCCCTCTCTAAAAAAAAATCAATAAAATTAAAAAAAGTTCCTAGGAAGAAATGATAGAATATCACCAATGAAAGGAGATTTAAGCCTTCAGCATCAATAGTTTTGCCTTCTGATAAAAATACATAACACATCTATGTAGAATTCTTGCCAAAAAAATAAATAAACCAAGGTTTTATCTGATCAAACCTCTAAATATAGGGGACAGAGAAACAGGTTAAGTGTTCCTACAGTCACACAATCAGCAAAATTCAGAGATAAAAGAACCAGTTTCATTAACAAATAACTTAAAATACAATAAAAATGAGAGATAGAAAGGGAGCATAGATATAAGCCAGATAACTAATTACTATGAACAAACCTTTCTTGGATATTGACTTAAAAATCCAACTATTAAAGAAAAAGTAAATTTCTCATACAAATGAGAACTTTTGAATATTGGCAAGATATTTGATATTAAGAAATTGTTGCATTTTTAGTCATAACAACATGGTAGTTGTGCTTGAAATCAGTTTATCTTTTAGAAATATGAATTGAAATATTTACAGTGAAATATTGTAATGTTTTGAATTTTTCTCACATTTATCCAGAATGGAGAGAAAAATGGTTGGAGTTAAAAATGAGACATAATTGGTTATGACATATATATATATATATATATATATATATATATATATATATATTCCAAATAAAACAAAACCACATTGAGAGAGGAAATGGTTGAAGGTTATAAAACAAATCACTAACAATGGTCACTTACGGGAATAGGATCACTGATGGTTTTCTCCTTCCTTTTTGCTTACCTATATACTATTGCATTTACTACAATGAGTATGAATCATTCATGTACTAAAAATTACTTGCGGAAATTTTAAAAAAGCAGAAGTGAAAATCTCAAATTGAAAAATTTGAGCTAAATGTGTATGTGGTTTTATACATTATGAAGTATGCATTTCTTCTGTGGCAGCACCTATGACATGTCAATAGTTCCATCAATAATTGGAGTTTGTAAACCAGTTGATAAGCTCAATAAAATCATTCAAACACTGGTGAAACATGCAAAAAAACACACAAAGAAATTACAAAGACATAACCAATACCTAAATAGCCATCCTTCCTCTCAAATTAGGTTGCATCCACCACATGTGTGGAGACAGGTCCACAGAGCACAACAGGTAAACCATTTCCCTTTCTCTCACAATAGAAAGCACAAGGATTTGATGAAAACCACAAACATTTCAGTAGGTAATTTTCAACTTACCTCTGCAGTTTGTGTCACATGCATGAAAAACGCTTGTGAAGAACTCTTCACAGGTCCTGTTGATGCCATCACCCGTGTCTAGTTTCCATCCTATTAAATGAAAAAGTTTGTAAATTCAAACATGCTTTTCTGTGCTACAATGATTAACTAGTTTGTTTTAATTTTAACAAAGAAAACATTTAAATAAACAGCAACATACAGTACTGGTTACTTAACTTAAATAGGCCAAGCAAAAAAAGTGGACTTGAAAGGTCTATTATTCATTTTTTCTTTTAATTTATGTTTGATAAAAGTAGGGGGGGGGGAGGATAGATGAAAGGAGAGGGAAATGAGCTTTCTTTTTATTTTTTTTATTTTCTTCTTTTTTGCCTTGTAATATTAAAAGTACTCAGAAAAAGCAAGTAGTATAACAAATAGAAAAGTAGAGGGGGAAAAGAAACTTAGCTATACAGAACATGTGTCATTTTGCACTGCTTTTTCACTGTTTTGTTTTCCAGTGCCTTTCATATAGTGGACTCTGTAAGCAATCCCCTAAGCAGAATTCCAGAAATTTCTATTGAAATTGGCCTGAAAACTTTACATTCTCCTCTGGCCTGACTTACTGGCTCTACTGGGAATGCACACTTTCTTTTTACACATTTTATTCTCACAAAATAACTAAATAAATAAATACATTAATGAGTTACTTTTTAAAATGCTAAAATGCTAGTTTTTAGCAAGGGACCTGGGAACTATATGGATTTTACCTCTCCTGGATCTATGTATTGCCATCATGACATTCTCATTTGCCCTAGAGAAAGTTTGTTTTCAGGTCAGTAGAGAAATACCAACAATTATGATTATAAATGCAATCCAGAATTTCTATGAGGTTTTTACTTGAAATCATAGAAAATACATTTTACATATAAAATGTTCTTTTAAGACAGAAAAAAAATTAAATAGGGAAAGATGGATGTTTCTATCCAAGCTTTAATAATGTGAATTGGCTGTGTGTGTGTGTGTTTAGTTCAGGTATCCTGAAAGTGATATGTTTATTGCTTTATTGAAAGAACATTAAAAGATGAATATTTACCATCTTCATTCAGAGACCAATTTTTCCCCACTGAATCCTGAGGAGTAAAAATTTCAGAGCTTTGATCAGAGGTGGAATCAAAGTCAAGTCTTAAGATACTAAAATGATTTTCATTCCCATAGTTATTCAAATCCTTGTTAGAGAAGGACTCCCGCTTTCTGGTCTGTGATACCAACGATCCGTAATTCTGGGAGCTCTGTGATCTCAGCCTTGAGATGTTTTCAGAACTTTTGAGGATGGAGTAGGTTGCATTCTCAGGGGAGCTGAGCTGAGAGACAGATGGGGTTCTCGGAGACCCTGTTTGGGGAGATGAGATGAGTGCATCATCTTTTTCAGGAGCTGAGAAGTGAGTGTTGGGTGTAGGAATGTGAGCAGCAGCCATTTTCTTCAGTATCCCTTCAAAATCTTTCCTGGTGTTAGCCTGTGGACTATCAAAACTGCTGGATTGGTACTTGATAATCTGTTGACTCTGATTGGAAAGCTCTTCCCTCTTTTGGATGGCTCTGATTTTCCTACAGATGCTTTCCACTGGGTTATGCCGCCTCTCAGTTCCCTTCCTCCCAGAGGCCATCGCTGACGTCCTCGCGTTCTGCAGCTGAAATGGCTGAAGTGCAGACAGAAGTAGACATGTGTCTTAAAGTCAACATTGTCCTAAGTACAGTTTAGCAATAGGCGATTTATTCTTAAGTCAGCTTTGGAGGGATCAAGATAAGATATCTTTAACTAACGGTTCTTAAACAATTGCTTTAAACAACTTTCCACGGGTTTAACTTTGGCACTCAAATTTCTAGAGAATCTTAACAGTTAACATAATTAAAATACTTATCACATGCCAGGCATGGTAGTAAGTTCTTTTTCAATGTCAACTCATTTCATCCTCAAAACAAGTCGATGAGGTAAGCCTTACTATCATCTCCATTCTCAGGCAAAAAGAGAAAAAGGGAGACACCCACAGAGTCACCCAGTTAGTACCAGAGCCCAGATCTGAACCCAGGGGTTCCTTCAGAAGCTGATTCCTAAGCATATTGATTTCCACTTATAATTATTGGCCAAATAAGATGATAATGGCGAAGATGCTAACGGCTCCCATTTGAGTACCTGTTCTGGTTCTCATTTATTGAGAACTTACTACATATGCCCTATGTCAGGCATTTTACAGGTGCTATGTCTAAACTTTACACAAAGCCTGTCAGATATATGAAAATATCCTCTTTTAAAAGATAATAAAACTAAGGCTCTATAAGATAAAGTAACTTGATAATGGTCACATCTTTAATATTTGAGCCAAAAGCTGTCTGACTCTAGCATAATTTTATTTAATGGCAGAATATATGACCTTAAACAAATGACTGCTCAAAAACCAGAATCACAGATACAGAGAACGCATTGGTGGTTGCCAGAGGGGAGAGGGCCTGGGGGCCAAAATGGGTGAAGGGAGTTAAGAAGTTCAAACTTCAAGTTATAAAATAAATAAGTGATGGGAATGTAATGTAAGATGACAGATGCAACCAGACATATTGTGAAGAGCTTTGCAATGTAAACAAATGTCAAATCACTATGCTGTATACCTGAAACTAATTCATGTTGTATGTCAAATACACCTTAATAAGATAAGAACTTCTTATGAGACACTACTTAAGGAATTTGGAAATAAGTCCAAAATTTTGTCTAAACTGATAAAATCTAAATTACTCTAGGCAAAGAGTTACAATAGTTTGAATAGTTGCAATGAGTTTGAAAGTTATGATTTTTTACGACCTTAAGAAAAATTTCTACTCAGAAATTTAGGGGGAAAAATCCATAATTGAAAATGAACAAAAGCTACAGGATTTTTAAAGGAACTATAATTGGAGAAGGTACTTAGACTGGGAAGAAGAAGGTATTCAAAGTCCTCTTAATCTGCTTTCGTTTTACTTCAACATGATGGCCATCAGCTCCAGCCCATAAAATTTCCACCAACAGAATCCTTTACCATTTAATAATCACTTTGAACCTTTTTGTTATCACTTGACAATACCCATCTTTCTATGTATTCGAAGGTTATCTTTCAGTGCCAAGTCTAAACACCTTCCTCTATTCAAATCCTAGAAGCAGTATCTCATTGGACTCAACTCTTTCTGCTCTTTCCTAGTGTGTATATTGTACTATATATTTTATCATTTAATTGACTTTTGTCTTCTATTCTTGGATTGTTTCAAATGTGTATACATGTTGTTTTCTCAAAAACATTTTTAATGTTTGCATTCAAAAGTGATTATGTGATTCTTTCTAGATACTCAATGCAATATTGGCATAATTGATAACCCACAATTCTATATCATGCAACTACCAGGCTTATGGACTTGTTCCCCAGCTGTAGTGACTGTTGACTCTCCACTAAGCAGCTACTTCCTTTTCTGCAGAATTTCCCCTGGCCATCCAGGAGCTGCTCATTGCTCAACAGGGAGGTGAGAAGTGAAGTAGTGGCAACAACAGGAGAGAATTCACCTGTGAATACAACACATTCCAAATCTATGGCCGACTATGATGGTGATGTAACAGAAGCCACCTGACTTTCCCTGTCCAGTGAAGAAGACTGGTTAAGTGTCTGTCCTGTTCTCAATGTGGTGCCAGAGAACTGAAGCACAGGCTGAGCACAGGGATAACAGAAGCCTTGGGATCAGAACCTCAAAATCCCAGATCCCGTCTACCCTCCTTGTTGAACATTAATGTGATGTTCAAGTCACCATTGAAAGACCTTGCTTTGTGGGCCTTTGTGACTGATTCGAAGGATCTCTTCCCTTTGAGAGGGACCTGGAGAGTATTATGCTAAGCGAAATAAGCCAATCAGAGAAAGGCACGTATCACATGATCTCACTTATATGTGGAATCTAATGACCAAAATAGATCTAGAAACAAGGAAGCATGGAACAGACTGACAAATCTCAGAGGGAAGGGGTTGAGAATAGGAAGAAATTAACCAAAAAACTTATATGCATGTGTATGCATAACCATGGACACAGACAATAATGCAGTGAAGCCTGGGGGTAAGGATAGGGTGGAGAGGGTCAATGGGGGGAGGAGGGGAAGGGGACATCTGTAATACTCTCAACAATAAAAATAATTTTAAAAAAATGTTCCTAGCATGTAAGACACACATTTCTATTTGCTTTTCCAAGGCATTTTTCTCCTACCATCTGGTTTCTGAACTTCCCTAACTCACCTAAGTGAGCCTGCTCTAGAGTTTATAAACTAAACCTTATAAAGAGTACACTTAAGTGAACTCTTCATGAGCTAGCAGAACTTGACAAGATTCACTTGTTTTGCTTTTTCTAATATAGAGCAGAACATTTGTGGGAGTTCAATAAGTACAATGTGATGATAAAGTTTTCAAAATTTGTGCTACCTTCTTCATATATGGCCTGGAAACATCTCCTGTCTGTCCTGTCCAAGCTTCTTTTTTAGTTTTAGTTTTAGTTTTAGTTTTAGTTTTAGTTTTAGATTAGCTGTAATCAGCCTAACACTTAAAAATACAAGTCTACCTTGATTTGTGCACTAACTGTCTTTGAAAAAATATGAACTGGAAATTAAACACTGAAACTTAATTGTACCAGCAGAATCAGTTGCTTGGAGTCTCTCTTTTAAAGGAACTTCCTCCTTATTTATCCATTTTAGTTGATTGAACAGTTACTATGTAGAGATGGGACACTTGTAGAAACCCCAACGGCAAGGATTCTTGTTTTTAAGTTCTTGGCTCTTAGTGGCATTCCATATCATTCATCACTCTAGGCATTCAACCAATACTTAGTATCTAAAGAGTGCAAAACCCTATACAGGTACTAGAGATACAATGATGAGCAAATGCTCTCCTAAAACTTGTACTCTGTGAGAGATACAGATATGAGCAAGTAACTCAGCAGGATAACCAGATTAAATCCAGGGTGCCCAATAAAATTTGAATTTCAATGGGAGCATGAGTGTGTGTGTGTGGGGGGAAGGTTGGGGGTTAATGGGGGGGATGAGGACACATTTGTAATACCTTAACTAATAATAAAAAAAATTTGAATTTCAAATAAACAATGATTATTCTTTTATCATACGTATGTCACAACAGTTGCATAGGAAAAACTTACATGGAAAAATTATTTGTTATTTGTCTGAAATTAGAATTTCACTGTGTATCTTTATATTTTGTTATCTAAATCTAGCAATCCTAAAGTCCCCAGATAAATAATTACACATTGGAAAAGAAAGGTGCCAGGGACTATGAGAACATATAATAGGGGGTTATTCTAGTTTGGCAGTGAAGACAGAAAAAAATTGGGGGGCATCTATTATGTGTTATGCACTGTGCTATACAGATTGTTTGCTAAATCCATGGTTATAAACTGAACATTAAAAAGTAGAGTCATAAATCCCATTGGATTCCCATCAGCTAAATGTAGTATAAAATAATGTTGGAAATTATCCAAACCAATTATTTCACCTACTTAATATTATTTATCCTACTGATTGAACTATGCCTCCTTCTAATTTCTACAACCTGAGTCCTGTTGTTATTATTGCCTGAATTGCCTTGTTGTTGTAGTAAAAGCTCTTGAATCAATAATTTTCAACCATCTCCTTGATATAAAACTATAAAGCAACAACTAAAAGCTGCAAAGCAATAATTAAAAGTCTCTGGTGCACGGCAGCATAAAACAAGTTGGATTTGTTTCTTACCTAAAGTTAAGCTACTCATTACATATCAATTTCCACCTGTGATGTAACTGCAGCATTCAGCATTAACCTTTAAGAATTTTTCACTCTTTGAAACTTACAGAAATAGTCAATAGGTTAGAATAAATTCACCATGTGTGTACAGTATAGACAATACTTCATATTCTTTTTAGAATTTACAGACAGACATAAGATCATTGTGTTTTTTAATATTCATATCTTTCAATCACTAAGAAAACAGCTGAATTTCTTTGCAAAGAAAGACATATGATACAGACAGAGAGAGAAAAAATAGGATACTTGAAAAAGTCAGCAGATTCAAAAAGATCTTTAGAAAGCATGAATCAAACTCAGACTAAGAAAAAAAGTTATGTTGACAATGTTATCATCGTTCTTTTACCAGCCATTTACAATGCTCTCCCTTTACTAATAGTTGTTTCTTAAACATTGAACTTACAAACTTTAAATTAGGTAGTTTATTTTAACAATCATTCAATACTTATGAAATCCATGCAAAACTTTCACCTAAGTGAATTCCACTTGGTAGTTTAATTAAGGCAAAACCCTTAATCAATGTATGTAAAAAATTAAATATATATATATATATCTGGGCACAGGCATACCTTGGAGATATTGTGGGTTCAGTTCCACGCCACCACAACAAAGTAAGTCATAATCTTCTGGTGGAGGGTTTTGCCTTTAGTTTGTAAAAAACACAACATTCATAAAGTGCAATGAGGCAAAGCATAAGAAAACCAGGTATGCCTGTGTATGTACATAGGTAACCAAGGGATTCCTCTTGCCGAAAGAGCCCGTTGCTAGCAATTAAGTGCCAGCAAACTCTTCATCAAGACATAAGAAGGAACATCTGTTCACTGAGATGTTCCCAGGAAACTTATCTTTAGCTAACCCAGAGGGAGAGCAGAGCATGGCTTTCTACTTAGCCAGTAAGTTTTACATTTGCCAAAGTACACCCTCTTCAGTCTCTTTGTGACTTGAATTTAATGTGATAAACTAATAACACTTACTTTTTCCTGCCTTCTGTAGGGTAGATGAGAGCAGCTGTTAAAAAATGATTTGCAAACCACAAGTTCCAGATTTAGCAATGCCCAGTGAGGCTGCCATCTGCAACCCTTTTTGATTACTAATAAATGCAAGCTGGTATAGAGTGAAACCCTCTCCTCCCACCATTCCCTTCACCTTGTTATATTAAGCTCCATGGCTGGGTCACACCCAATGTATTATAAACATCTCACATTGGAACAATTCCTTAAATAGCACAGTCACACACATGCCTCTGAAAACTGACAGTGTCCTTCTGTTTCAGTTCTTATTCTGTGAAGTCTGCTTTTCTTCTCAGAAACCAGGAGAAAACCTATGATGCATAAATCTCTGACTCCAAGCACTCAGGTGCTTCCAGATTCTTACCGTCTACAGAACCACATGACCAGTTCCCACTAACACACATCCAAACGATCAAGGCTGAAAATGACAGTTCAAGACTTTAGGTAGCTAAAGCCCCTTTGAAAACAACTCTGGGATTTGCCTGTGGTGAAAGCTACATTTCTGGGGAACCTAGCTTTATCACTTCCAGCCACCCATCTTTTCCCCAATTTTCTCAGTGTTTAGGTTTTATTCCCAGATTTGTTTCAAGATTCCAATGAACTTGGAATATAGACTGATATGGGAGGTTGGTCTCATTTGCCACAAGCATGTTGAGCTTGGGTTTGGGGTGAGGAGACAATAGAGAGGCTACATCTGGGATTGCTTTTCCCTCTGTAGGGCAGGACTTGTTCCACCATAAATGACTAAGGGAGCTGGCATCCACCAAAATGTACTTCCTTGGGAGGAAAACTTACCACCTTATTTTCACGTCACCAGCATTCCAAGAACCATCTTCGGAGAACTGGGAATTGGGAATGAAGGCCCGGGGGATCAGGTGGTGTGGGTGGAGCTAACTTCTGCAGGGTTATGTGGAGTGAGGTGAAAGGCCGAGGCTGGAGAACAGGGAAGCCGCTGATGAGCTACACCTGCCTCTTTGGTTTTAGCCAAGATCATGAGAAGACGGGTGTGAGGGAAGACACGTGGGAGGAATGAGGGCGACCTCTTTGGGTGCATCCATGCCATTTGGGGGCACTCCCACCAAGTCGATCACAATGAACTAAAGATCATTCAGAATATACTCTTTAATTGGGATGAAGAAAAAGTCACTTTTTAAGTTAAATGTCAGACATTTCTATTGGGCCAGGTGCTGCGTGGTTTCTAAAACATTAATGCTATTAATCATTGTCTTTTATGGGACCATGGCTGGTCTGGGAGACAAGATATATAAATTATATAAAGAAGTACGTGAGTGGTACATTAAGCTCCATGGGAAGTCAGAACAGAATGAGCTCGGTGTGGGTTGCGCAGCCTTTAAAAATAGATGGGACACAAGCTGGGCTTTCAGTAATGAAATATTTTGGGAAGCTGGAGGCTTGGACAAACATGGGAGGTGGGGTGGCAGGCAACTTGTGGTTTTGGCAGCACGAGGTGAACAGTCTGATGAAACCTGGAGATAGTTGGGAGGTTGTGGAGTAGTAATAAAATAAAGTAAATATATGTGTATATATGTTTAGATCGGTAGCATACAGATTCAGAAATGAATGAAATTTTCTATAATTCCATTTCCCGTTCCACGAAAATATGTTCAGCTGGGACAAACATTTTAAAAACAGAACAAAATAAAACCTACCCCAAAACAAACAAAAAAGCACACGAGGATCAGGATTGTAAACACACCGCCCAAAGCATCGTAACTGGAACTGAAATTCTGTTCTCCAACTGGCAGTTTTACTTCCTACGCAAGGGGCTTCTCCAGCCACACCACTCCGGCCCCTAATCACACGCTTCACAGACCCCGCTTCGGTGCTTTCCTACTTCTCCCCAGTTTTCCGTCTCCCCCTTTCCTACTTCTCCCCAGGTTTCCGTCTCCCCCTTTCCTACTTCTCCCCAGGTTTCCGTCTCCCCCTTTCCTACTTCTCCCCAGGTTTCCGTCTCCCCCTTTCCTACTTCTCCCCAGGTTTCCGTCTCCCCCTTTCCTACTTCTCCCAGGTTTCCGTCTCCCCCTTTCCTACTTCTCCCAGGTTTCCGTCTCCCCCTTTCCTACTTCTCCCAGTTTTCCGTCTCCCCCTTTCCTACTTCTCCCCAGTTTTCCGTCTCCCCCTTTCCTACTTCTCCCCAGGTTTCCGTCTCCCCCTTTCCTACTTCTCCCCAGGTTTCCGTCTCCCCCTTTCCTACTTCTCCCCAGGTTTCCGCCTCCCCCTTTCCTACTTCTCCCCAGGTTTCCGTCTCCCCTTTCCTACTTCTCCCCAGGTTTCCGTCTCCCCCTTTCCTACTTCTCCCCAGGTTTCCGTCTCCCCCTTTCCTACTTCTCCCAGTTTTCCGTCTCCCCCTTTCCTACTTCTCCCCAGGTTTCCGTCTCCCCCTTTCCTACTTCTCCCCAGGTTTCCGTCTCCCCCTTTCCTACTTCTCCCCAGGTTTCCGTCTCCCCCTTTCCTACTTCTCCCCAGGTTTCCATCTCCCCCGCTCCTTTTGGGTGCTCAGCAGATCTCTTCTATCTGATCCTATGCCTGTGGGTCATCGTTTCTGTCACCAAGTGAGAGGGAAGGGCTGTCATAGTTAAAAGTTGGGCTCTGGATTGAAATAACCTGACTTAAAATCCCAGCTCTGCCCTCACCAGTTCTGTGACCTTAGACAACTTAACTCCCTGTGCCTCAGTTTCTTCACCAGCAAAATTGCATCAATCTCATGAAGGACTCCTGGGTTATCGCAGGAATGAAACGAGATCACACACGCATGGCGCACTTTCTGAAACGCCTTTGACTTACTCAGATATTTGATGTCGTCTTAAAGCCCAGCAAGAGATGACCAGCTAACTCATTCCTCACATTAGTCTTGCTCTGTTCGATTTCCCATCAAATGAAATGTCACATCCATACTTGTGATCTTCCTATCACTACACAGATGTCGAAACTAGCAACACCCAGGGAGATTTCCCTCCTAGTCATAAAGGAAGCCGGCGGTGGAGCCAGAAATAATATTCAAGTTCTGAATCCACTAGACTATGTCACCTGTCTGGTAAATTATACTCTTACTTCCTGTTCCAACTAAGTGCCTCACACCTGATGTGTCTCAGAGCAGTGAAAGGAATGACCTGAATAAATATCAATGGCTCTGCAATGAACTGAATAAAGATGTTATTTCATTATTTACTGATTGATTGCCTCGTGCTTATTCTAACACAGCAATTTTCAACCGTGTGCCACGCCACTCTAGGCTGTGCCACAAAAAATGTAAAACATACAATACCTGACTATTTGGTCAGGGGCACTGACCTTTTCTTCCTTAGATTATCAAATAAAAGAAATGACAACAGCCAACACAACAATAGCTGTCATGTGTGAATGAATCAAAATTATACCTTTTTTTGTCAGATCGACAAAACATATATCTTTTGGTGTGCTGCAGGATTTTAGTAACTAGTTTGTGTGCCATGACATGAAAAAGGTTGAAAATTGCTGTTCTAACAGAACACTTTCCTCAGCTTCTCTGCTGGGAACAGCACTCATGAGTATGGGTTCCTCTGGTACCTGCCCCAGGCAGGCAGCCAGAAAGGTTCAGTCTCACCCTGGCCAATGTGGCTCAGTGGTTGGAGCATTGGACTGTGCACCAAAAGGTCTCAGGTTTGATTCCTGGTCAAGGGCACATATCCCCACTCCTTGCACCTGTCCTGGCAAGTGCTGGGGGCAAGTGCAGGAGGCAACTGATAGATGTGTCTCTATTACATCCATGTTTCTCTCTCACACCCTCCCTCCTTCTCTTCCACTCTCTCTAAAAGCAGTGGAAATGGGATTAACAACAGCAACATAAATAATAATCTATGTATATAAAAGCCTAAGCAATTATTACCACCATTGGACTGGTTGCTATGACGACATACTGACTACCAGGGGGCAGACGCTCAATGCAGGAGCTGCCCCCTGGTGGTCAGTGCTCTCCCACAGCCAACCTCCCGTGGTCCTTCCTCCTGACCAGCCAGCCCGGATCAGACCCTCGATCACCAGCCAGGCCAAAGAACCCCACCCATGCATGAATTCATGCACCGGCCCTCTAGTAATTAATAAAGTATGTAAGCCAGAAAGGTTCAGTCTCTGCTGAAACCGTTTCTCCACCCCCACCCAGGCTCTGTTAAGGCTTTGTTAATGTGGGATAACATGCAGACTTCACTAAAAGAAACCCAAGATGGGGCTTTGGCTTTTGGATATACTGTAGGTAGAGATGATAACAGCATGTTCACTTGGCAAGTCCTTTCCTCTTAAGGCACATTGACCAGAAGGAGCCCTTATGTTGCCAGACCTGAAAGCAGTTGTCTGTCTTGTTATAATCAGAGAGCCTCTGAGAGACTCCCTCCCCAGTCTTCAAAATAACCTTTCAAGGAAATTAAACCATGCCATGTAAATAGCATATATATGTATGACACAGCCCCTTCTCTCTAATGCAATCTGTGATGTTGTTAGACATTAGCCAGTAGCTAGATCTCTGGGATTCATCTCTGGTTGATCCAAGAGACCATTTCATCTAACCAAGAGTAGATTGGAGGGGGAGAGGGGCACCATGAGAAGAAAACCAGATGGTGGAACCCTCCCTTAGTATAGGTGGGCCCAAACATAACACTTTTTTTTAAATCTGCTCTGTGTAAGAGCAGATTTCTTATAAGGTACTCTCTAGTGCCCTTATATTCTAGAAATCGTTGCCTTTAAATTGCTTTCTGTTAATCAAATTTTAATAAGCAAAGGCAGTGTCTTCAGGAAGCCAATTTCATAAAGATATTGTCCCAGAAAGAAAGGGATTGGGAATTCTAGTGATCTATGGGCTTCATTCTGAAAAGGAAGAACTCAGAAGTGAATGCTGAGGAAGGAAAATTGGCAACATAGTTTTGGAGGGAGTTTAAAATAAAGCAAGGCTCTGAAGATATTAACCAAGGTATGTATCTCTGAATGAAAATCACCTGTTGCCCTTCCAGATCTACCCTCTGGAAATAAAGCAAGGTCTACTGACCCCCACTGACAGCCTCCCTGTGCCCCTCCCCTCCTGCCCTTTGATTTCCCATTGAACTTGGCCAGGAAGAGGAACCAACAGAGAATAGGTGGGCAGGAAGAGACAGGGCCTGAGCTCTGCATTCTCCTGGCTCCCACCCTCCAGCCCTGTCTGACAGTGGCCCAGGCTTTTCCTCAGCTCCTGTCGCGTGACAGTCCTCACTTGGTTCTGCACTTCTTCCCTCCCTTGGCCCTTGCTGGGATGGTAATGTCTCCCTAAAGCCATGATGCCTGACCCCCACTTTTTATTGTTTCCTATAACCCTGCCCACACCTTCATGAATGAAACTCTTTTTAGTCCCCCTTTTAAAAAATGTGCCACCCATTTCCTGATCTCAGAGGTTCTTTCAGTTGTCATGTTAATTTCCATAGTTCAATACAGTTGTCATTACATTATTCAAAGGGCACAATACTGCCCTTAAATTATTGTTATTATTTTTAAACTCGTGTAGACTTTTCTTCTAGTTGAATACATGCAGCTAAGGCCAAGAGAGATTTGACTGAAAGTAAAACAACAACAGCAACAAAAAACAACTCCACAAGATTTCCTTTAAAACTTTGGATAGCTATTACCAACTTGGTTTCCATACTGTTTGTATCAATTTATCATCTCACCCACAATCCGTGAGACGGCTTGGCTCCCCACACTCCCATCAGCACAATGTGTTGATCTTTGCCAATCTGATAGGTGAAGTGTGGATGGCATCTCATCATTTTAATTTACATTTCTCTTCTTATGAATATGGTTTATATGTCTAAAGCTATTTGTATTTCCATTTGTATACTCTATTTGGTTGGATTCTTGGTCAGTTTTTTAATAGGCGTTTGATTTTATCAATTTACAAAGGCTGTTTATATATTAAGAAATTTAGGGTTTTTTTGTATTTCATGTGTTAAATATGCATTTTTACAGTTTGTCATTTTTATTTTTTGTTGACATTCTTTTTCATGCAGACTTTTAAAAAACACAGTCAAATTTGAATTTTCTCTGTGTGACCTCTGAGTTTGTGGTAGGCATAGAAAGGCTTTCCTGACTCCAAAATTATAAAAACATTCCCCCATGTTACTTTCTAGTATTTTTATGATTTGATGCTTATTTGGCTTATAAGGAGATAGGACTCTACCTTTAATATTTTCCTGATGGCTACCTGTTTTTCTCTAGGAAATGACTCTCCATATATATTGCACACATTTACAAAGATACATGTAAAATATATTTATTATAGTATGCTTGGAATGGATGTGAAATATAGTATGCTTGGATGATGTGAAAATATTGAAAAATATGAAAAACAACCATTGCATCCTTCAATAGGGAACTGGTGATATAAATTACAGTTCATTCACACACTGGAATAAAATACAGCTGTTTCAAAGAAATGTTCTTTAAGGCTAATATGGAATTCCAAAATTATGTGGTCAAGTTATCAATCAACCCTAAGGTGAAGAATAGTGCTTATACCATTTGTGATTTAAAACATTAGTATAGCCTTGGCTGGTGTGGCTCCTTTGGTTGGGTGTAGTCCTGTGCATGAAAAAGTTGCTGGTTTGATCCCAGTCAGGGCACATGCCTGAGTTGTAGGCTTTATCCCTGGTAGGAGGCATGCAGGAGGAAGCTCTCACATCAATGTCTCTCTCTCTCTCTCTCTCTCTCTCTCTCTCTCTCTCTCTCTCTCTCTCCCTCTTTCTCTAGAAATCAATTAAAAATATTTTTAAAAAGATATAGTACAAACCAAAGCAAAACAAACACACATGTAAATACAGAGGAAAGTAGAGACAATGGTAACCTGGAAAAGAGAAACTGGGGGACTAAGGAACAGGAGTAGAAGAGAGATTTATTTACTTCTGTCTATATTTTTGTACTGTATTAATGTACAATATTATCAATTTAAACAAATGAATAAATAAAAGAGAAAAAAAGAGGTATTAAAAACTCAAGTAATTATGTTTTGGTAGTTGATTTAGTATTATAAAATGTAGATTTGTAAGATAATGTCATTTACAGTATTGAAATCTGCCCCTTAGTTCAGCAAAACACTCTTTTAACACATAGGTATGAAAATGTGGATCAGTAGCACCCTCTGCTGGTAGCAGGTTGAAATTTGATGACCCAGAAATCATTAATAAGCCTGTGATTTGGAATTATCATGTACTCAAATAGTATATCATGAGTAATATTTCATATCATGAATTTGAAAAGTCACTGGGAAATTTCTACAGTTAAAAAAATCACCAATTTTTGCCCGGCCGGCATGGCTCAGTGGTTGAGCATCCACTCATGAACTAGGAGGTCACAGTTCAATTCCAGGTCAGGGCACATGCCTAGGTTGCTGGCTCAATCCCCAGTTTGGTATATATATATATATATATTAAAAATCACCATTTTTGTAGAAGTCCACAATTCTAGTATTTTTTATCTGTGGTCTGTGTACAGAACTCTCTACTTTTGATGATGTGGAAATATTGAGAATAAAGTAATAACTATTTTTAACAACAGTTATCACCAAGTTGTATAAAAGTAAGCAATACACTGTACATGTTTGTCTTATCAGTCTATATTTTTTATTATGTCCATCTACACTAATAAAAGACAAACATGCAAATTGACTGTACCTTTGCTACCATGCCCACCAGCCAATCAGAGCGACTATATGCAAATTAGCCCAACCAAGATGGCGGCCAGCAGCCAAGGAGCTGAAGCCAGCAGGAGGCTTGGTTGCTCCAGTGACGAAGGAAGCCAAGCTTCCTGGCCAGCTCTGAGCTCTACTGAAGGCAACAAAGTTTCAATTATAGAAGATAAATAAATCCCAGATACCTGCTTTCAGCTGGCCGTGGCCACGGAGCTGGAGCGAGCAGGAGCCAGCTCTGAGCTCCACTGAAGGCAACAAAGTTTCAATTATAGAAGGTAAATAAATCCCAGAATAAAAAGAAAAAAGAAAAAAAGGAGAGGCTGGGAGCTTCTGTCACCGGGGTGCTTGGCCAGCCTGAAAATGGCCCTCAGCCCCTCACCCAGGCTGGCCAGGCAACCCAGTGGGGACCCACACCCTGAAGGGGGTGTGACCAGCCTGCAAACACCCATCAGCCCCTCACCCAGGCTGGCCAGGCACCCCAGCAGGACCCCCACTCTGATCTGGGACACCCTTCAGGGCAAACCAGCCAGCCCCCACCCGTGCACCAGGCCTCTATCCTATATAATAAAAGGGTAATATGCAAACCGACCCTCACAGCAGAAAGACTGGGAATGACTGGTTACTATGACACACACTGACCACTAGGGGGCAGAAGCTCAATGCAGGAGCTGCCCCCTGGTGGTCAGTGCGCTCCCACAGGGGGAGCTCAGCTCAGCCACAAGCCAGGCTGATGGCTGCCAATACAGCGGTGGTGGTAGGAGCCTCTCCTGCCTCCTCAGCAGCGCTAAGGATGTCCGACTGCAGCTTAGGCCTGCTCCCAGGCTGCCAGAGTGATGTCTGACTGCCAGCTTAGGCCCAATTCCCCAGGGAACGGGCCTAAACCAGCAGGTGGTTATCCCCCAAGGGGTACCAGACTGTGAGAGGACACAGGCCAGGCTGAGGGATCCCCCGAGTGCACAAATTTTTGTGCACCAGGCCTCTAGTCATTATTATAATTAATTCACTCATTCAACAATTAATGAGTATTTTGTGTGTGTCAGGTATATCCTAGTGCTGGGAATACACTGGGGCAAATTAGATAAATTTCTTGCTCTCATAGAATTTACTTCCTACCAAAGGAGACATAAAATTAACATAACTGACTGTAAAGATAGTATATTACGTCTTATAAGTGCTTAAGAAAGAAAAATAAAAAGAATGTAAAAATGAGTTTAGAGGGAGGGTTGCAATTGTAGATGGGGCAGCCAAGGAAGGGATCACCAGAAGGTAAATTTGAATATAGCCCTGAAGAAAGGGAAAGAACTATCCAGAGGACACCTGTAAAAATATAGCAAGGCAGAAGAGCAAGTGCAAAGGTCCTGAGGTACAAGTTTACCTGACATATTTGAGAAACAGCAAGGAGGTTAGTGTAGCTGCAGTGAACAGAATAGGGGCAAGTAGTAGGAAATAAAATCAGAGCATAAATGGGGTATAAATAACTATGTAGGATCTTAGGGTTATAAAAGGACATTGGCTTTTACTCTGAGTGAGATGGGAAGCTATTGGATGATTTTTAAGGAGGACAGATACAAGCTCTGAAAAATGAATAAACTGAAGGAGTCAAGGATAGAAACCGTGGGATTAGACATTTATAGCAATAATCCAGGAGAAGAAATGATGACAAAAAGTTATAGATAGACAGGTACAGAGATACTAGATGGATCAATAATCCTATATAATAAAAGCCTAATATGCTAAGTGTCTGACCTTTCATTAGACCATTTGACCAGTCACTATGATGCAACCACCAGGGGGCAGATGCTCTACTCTGACCAGTAGGTTAGCTTGCTGCTGGGGTCCGGCCGATCGGGATTGGGCAAGATGGGCCAGACACACCCTGGAGCCCTCCCTCAGTCCCTCCCTGGCCCTGATCGTGCACAAGTGGGGTCCCTCAGCCAGGCCTGCGCCTTCTCGCAATCTGGGACCCCTGGGGGATGTTGCAGAGCCAGTTTTGGCCCAAGACCCACAGGCCAGGGAGAGGGACCCCACCAGTGCACGAATCCATGCACCAGGCCTCTAGTAGATAGATAAAAAATAAGTAGACAGATAGATACTGTTAGATGAGATGGTACATGCTGACAGACCAAATGTAGGGTAGGAGAGTAACAGAAGAATCAAGAATTACTTCAAGATTTTAGCCTGAGCAACTGGAGGAATGTAGTTTCATTAATTGAGATTGTTTAGAGCAGCGGTTCTCAACCTGTGGGTCGCGACCCTTTTAGGGGTTGAACCACCCTTTCACAGGGGTCACCTAAGACCCTCAGAAAACACATATATAATTACATATTGTTTTTGTGATTAATCACTATGCTTTAATTATGTTCAATTTGTAACAATGAAATTGGGGGTCACCACAACATGAGGAACTGTATTAAAGGGTTGCGGCATTAGGAAGGTTGAGAACCACTGGTTTAGAGGAAGGGATGACTATTTTAGATAGGTGAGTTTCAGATCTTATTAAATATTCAAGTGGAGGTTATCCAATAGGCAGTTGGATATACGGTCTGGATTCAGCAGAGTGATTTGTTTTGGAGACAGAAATCTGGGAGTTGTCAGCAAAAAGGTGGTATGTGAGGCCGGTAACCCTATTGAAACCACCCAGGAAGTGAAGGCAGAGAGGAAGGGAAAGGCCAAGGCATGAGCCCAATGGCACGTCAACATTGATAAGCCTGGGTGATGAGGTAACCAGGAACTAGCAAAAGAGACATAAAGGATCAGCAGGAAGGTCAAAGGTGGAGAAAGGTAGAAAATCCGGAGCCCGCATGAGCCTGTGGAGAGCTGCTGGGACAGAGGACAGGCTCTCCCTCCCGAGGCTGGACCCTGCTTTCCCAGGGAGCCTGGGGGTGGTGGCTGGGACATGGGCGGCTTCTTCCCGCTGCTCTGGGGGAGATGACACTACCCAACCCTTTCATTGCTGACCCTCTTCCCCGAAGGAGGCGGGGAGAGCGGGAGACCTGAGGACGTCTGTGCTTGTGAATCCTGACCTTGAGCCCGTGCTTTGTTTTGTTTTATTCCCCTGATCATGAACGTGTTTTAACTTGCACAAATAAAGATAAAATCCACAAATCCTTCTTGTCTCCGAAATGTCTACGTTTCCTTTCCCTCCCACAGTGCTTTGTGTCACCGAGCGGTCTGGCACCCGCTCACGCGTGTTTCCTTCACGTGGTCTCTCTCCCAGGCTCTGCTCAGACAGGAGACAAAACCAAATCGCCAGAAGCAGCTGGGGAGCGGCTGCCAGGACATTGTCCGCATCGGTGCGGGGTCCCACACTTGCCCTGAGGGGGTGCTAGGCAAGCGTTTCCAGGGGCAGCCGAATTGATCTCCAAACCTTGTGGGGTGATCCAAAGGATTGGCCATTTTACCCAGAATCCCTAGAACCTCAGCACCCCGGGCAAGCACAGAGTGACAGCCGGTGTTGTCCGGGGAACTAAGCAGGCTTATGGGGAGGGAGGAGACCCATTCCAATTTTCCCTGTGGGTGCAGGGTGCTGCAGAGCCCTTCATGACAAGGTCCATGGTTTCCCTTCAAAGGGTCATCACCCTTCACAGCACAACTCCTCTGGTGGTGTCTACAGGGCTTCTGGGCTCTGCTAGGCTTGCCCCCCTGGCCACTGAGACACCCAGTTGGGGCAAAAGCATACAAGCCCCACTGTCCCACTCTAGTGCAGAAGGGATGGTGTCTTCCCCTTTGGGTCACCTCCCAAAGGCAAAACGACATCACACCCACCCCCTCCACCACACACACACACACATACACACACACACACACACACACACACACACACACACACAATGTTTTATTTCTCCGCACATTTCCTTTGGCCTTTCCAGAGACAGAATCCAAAAGCACGTTGGTGTGTGTTTCTGGGAAGCTTTGTGACTTTAGGAGAGTCGGCAAGTTCTACTTCATGCCAACATATCCTCTTTCTGACACTCTTCTTGGCCAACTGGCTACCCTTATCACTCAACACTGACCCATGTGTTCCCTATGGCTATGATGAGAGACTTCCCAAACTCATGTTCACAAACTAAGTAGGAACAGGGAACCCTCCCCCTCCATGTTCCAGAGCCATGATGAGTCAGATGGCAGTTCGCAGTCCACTGAGGAGAAGAGCCAGAGCAGTGTGTTCTGTAGTTCTGCGTGTCTCTATCTATGCGTTTAGCAGCCATTTCACAAGGGCCGATAACGCGACCAACCCACTGTGGAGTACCCAGTCCTAGGAGACCTGACTTGAATGACAGTGATGAGAGAAACAGAATCTCGAGGTCCAGTCCTCACGTGGGGATTCCTCTTTAGAAGGGGCAACTGCCCCCTTCTACTTTCCTAACTCTTCTCTTCCTGAAACGCACCCTCCAGATACCATGTCCATGCTGTAGATAGAGAGGGAGTGGGTCAGTGACAGACCCTGTGGCCCCTCCTCCTCAAGGGTGCCCCAGGTTTCAAGGGACCTGTCGTATATGGCACACTGTTCTCAGTATGTTTGCTCCCCTTCTTACTGCTATGTGTTTTAACCAAGGTCACCTCTCCCTGTAAGGTTGTATCCCCAGGTGGGGATTTTTCCCTGGAGTTGGGGATTAACAGGACTAAGGAAGGGACTAATCAGTAAAACCCCTTAACTGAGTGCCAGGCGGGTAGTTAATCACTTACACTAGGAATAATCACCCTTAAGCTACATCATCTTTACTTAGGATAATCTTCTTCAGTTACTTCCTTGTAGCTTAACTGAATAATAGGGCAGTGACCTTGGAATGGAGATAACAATCGGCCTATCATTTGGAATAGAATGGATAGGATTAAAATCAACTGGTATAAATACAGATGTAGCAGGAGAATAAAGACAGAACCTGGAGCTGCAGAGCCGACTACCTGTGTGCAGGAAGGTCCAAAACGACTGCGACCTCAGCCAGGCACCTCACAGCTCAGTCCGCCCAGCCAGGACCCCAGCGCGCACTGGCCAAGCTGCTCCTGAAGCCAATCCACAACTGCGCGCCCCCAAATTGAGGGACCAACGTGCTGACGCGGGCTCAAGCCAAGGCATATTCCATGCCCGCCATGGCCGACAAATTGGACATGTCTCTGGACGACATCATTCAGCTGAACCGCAGTCAGCGGGGCGGCCGCGGTCGTGGCCGAGGTGGGGGCTGGGGCCCAGGCCGGGCCAGCTCCCAGGGAGGCCGCGGTGGCGGAGCGCAGGCCCCCGCACCAGTGAACCCAGTGAGCCGAGGCGGCGGGCCCATCCGGAACCGGAACCGGGCGGCCCTCGGCCGAGGCTGCGCGGCGGGTGGCCGAGGCAGGAACCGGCCGGCGCCCTACAGCCGGCCCACACAGCTTCCCGACAGGTGGCAACACGACCTTTTCGACAGCGGCTTCGGCGGGGGCGCCGGCGTGGAGACGGGAGGCAAACTGCTGGTGTCCAACCTGGACTTGGGAGTGTCGGACGCGGACATCCAGGAGCTGTTTGCGGACTGCGGGACTCTGAAGAAGGCCGCCCTGCACTACGACCGCTCTGGCCGCAGCCTGGGAACGGCCCACGTGCACTTTGAGCGGAAGGCAGACGCCCTGGCAGCCATGCAGCGGTACCACGGCGTCCCCTTGGACGGCCGCCCCATGAGCATCCAGCTCCTCACCTCACAGGCAGACACGCGGCGCAGGCCGGGACCCAGTGGCAACAGAGGCGGGAGGACCTGGAACCGAGGATCTGGAGGCTCCGGTGGCGGCACCCGCAGAGGCGCCCGCGGAGGCAGCCGGGGCAGAGGCAGGGGCACCGGCCGGAGTTCCAGGCAGCAGATGTCGGCGGAGGAGCTGGATGCCCAGCTGGACGCTTACAATGAGAGGATGGACACCAGCTAAAGAACCAGCAAGTCCGTGCGTGCAGCTGGGCCTGGACCACCTGGCTAGGACCTGACTACGCTGCTGATCATCTGATGAACGCTGTCACCGTGTCATTCCTTCCTCGCCAACCCCGTCCACACTTTTTTCTCTGAAATCAATAAAAAAATATATTAAAAACAAAAAAAAAACAACAGGAAAGTTTAAGAAAAACCACAAAACCTTGAGTGGTTCATGTTTCCATATTACACACTAAAATAACACATACAAGTATTTTCAAATAGAAGAGGTATGTCATTTTTCCCAAATGTGCAGTCATAAATACTTTGAAATACAGCCCTATTAAGTTTACTAGATCAACATGTATTTATTATTCTTCCCTGGCAGATAAGAACTAGTGTTAAGGTTGTGCTACATAAACATTACATTCACTTTCTTGTTTTTATGATACACAAAATGGAATCACTTATTCACCAGGACTTTTCCCCTATAGAACTACTCACAATGCAACTAGCACAGGGAGTTGAATAATAAATCAAACAGCTATCACTGAATGTTAAATTGAAAAAAAAAAAAAATCAAACAGCATAGAAAACCTAGGCTTCTCTATACATGCAGATCAACAGGCTGAGCTTTGCATGTTACAGGAGTCAGAAAGTTCCTCAGACAAGAACTTCTACTGAAAACCAGCAGCTGGCTATGAAACTGTTAGAAGGGCAAAATGACCCTGAGGACTAACACATAACAGCACCATGTAGGTCATAAGAGGGAGGCATCAGTATGTATATCTTCAGGAAATTTTTTTCCAACATGTGCTTATCCACTGCCTACAAAAGCTTGCTGGGATAACGAAACTGGGATTAATTTGCTGAAACTCAACAAAGCATTATTTATTTATTTATTTTATAATTATTTTTTAATTTTTATTTTATTGTTTATAAAGTATTACAGGTATGTACATATGTCCCTTTTTTGCCTCCATTGACCTTCCCCAGGCCTCCCCTAACCCCTGGCACATCGCACATGCCCACACCGCCCGCTCACCCCCCCCCACCCCCCCCCCCACACACACAGTGTTTTGCATCCATTGGTTATGCTTATATGCATGCACAGAAGTCCTTTGGTTGATCTCCTACCCACTCCGCCCCTCCCCCCAAACTCTCCCTAGACTCACCGCTGTCCTTTGACAATCTGTTTGATGCTTCTAGCATTTTTAAAAAATATATATTTTATTGATTTCAGAAAGGAAGGGGGAGGGAGAGGAAGAGAGAGAGAGAAACATCAATGACGAGAGAGAATCATTGATCAGCTCCTTCCTGCATGCCCCACATTGGGCATTAAGCCTGCAACCTGGGTATGTGCCCTGACCAGGAATTGAACTACGACCTCCCGGTTGAGAGGTTAATGCTCAACCACTGAGCCACACCAGACGGGCTTGACAAAGCATTTTTATCATCAATAACCAAAGGGTGCCGGGGATTTATTGTTTTCACCAGTGAGGTCAGGCAGTGTTCACAGTGCACCAGCAGGGATTTCTTGATGTCCTCTGCAAGGACAAGACCCAGTGTGAAGCGGGTCTGAGGCCTGCTGAGATCCCCAGGGTGGACACCAGCAAGTCCGTGCGTGCAACTAGGCTTGGACAACCTGGCTAGGACCTGGCTACGCTGGTGATCAACTGATGAACGCTGTCTCCGTGTCATTCCTTCCTCGCCAACCCCGTCCACACCTTTGGGAATCCCTGGACTTGCTGGGCTGGACCCCAAGACAGCAGAACGCGCTAATCGCCAGGGCCGGGCTGGGCCGGCCAAGATCTTCGCGGGGGAGGTGGTGGAAGAGGCCCTGGACTTGTGCGAGACCTGGGGGGAAACGACGTCCCTACAACCCAAGGATCTCAGAGAGGCCGTGCGCAGCTTGAGCGCCAAGGGCAAAGTGCCCAACATCAAGCCCAGAAGCGTCCTGTTCCCCTAGGACACAGGCATGGGGCCCAGGGCCCCGACTTCCTGGCACCAAAACTGCCGGAGCTGCAGCCCCTCTGTCTCCCTCCGCGGACCATTCATCCATGAGGACTCTGTTTTCCTCCAAACTCCCTCACGTGGACCGCGACTCTTGCAAGGCACCTGGAGGCCTGGAGCTGGCTGGGTGAGCCGAGGCGGGTGAAGAAGAGCGCCTGCCAGGAAGGAGCCCGCACCCTCGGGCTGGGACAGAGGACAGGCTCTCCCTCCCGAGGCTGGACCCTGCTTTCCCAGGGAGCCTGGGGGTGGTGGCTGGGACATGGGCGGCTTCTTCCCGCTGCTCTTGGGGGGATGACACCACGCCAACCGTTTCATTGCTGACCCTCTTCCCTGAAGGACGCAGGGAGAGCGGGAGACGTGAGAACGTCTGTGCTTGTGAATCCTGACCCGGAGCCCATGTTTTGTTTTGTTTTGCTTTATTTCCGTCATCAGGAACTTGTTTTAACTTGCACAAATAAAGATAAAATCCACAAATCCTTCTTGTCTCCGAAATGTCTACGTTTCCTTTCCCTCCCACAGTGCTTTGTGTCACCGAGCGGTCTGGCACCCGCTCACGCGTGTTTCCTTCACGTGGTCTCTATCCCAGGCTCTGCTCAGGCAGGAGATGAAACCGAATCGCCAGAAGCAGCTAGGGAGCGGCCGCCAGGACATTGTCCGCATCGGTGCGGGGTCCCACACTTGCCCTGAGGGGGTGCTAGGCAAGCGTTTCCAGGGGCAGCCGAATTGATCTCCAAACCTTGTGGGGCGATCCAAAGGATTGGCCATTTTACCCAGAATCCCTAGAACCTCAGCACCCCGGGCAAGCACAGAGTGACAGCCGGTGTTGTCCACGGGGAACTAAGCAGGCTTATGGGGAGGGAGCAGACCCATTCCAATCTTCCCTGTGCGTGGAGGGTGCTGCAGAGGCCTTCATGACAAGGTCCATGGTTTCCCTTCAACGGGTCATCACCCTTCACAGCACAACTCCTCTGGTGGTGTCTACAGGGCTTCTGCGCTCTCTAGGCTTGCCCCCCTGGCCACTGAGACACCCAGTTGGGGCAAAAGCATACAAGCCCCACTGTCCCACTCTAGTGCTGAAGGGACGGTATCTTCCCCTTTGGGTCACCTCCCAAAGGCGAAACGACCCCACACCCACCCCCTCCACCACACACACACACACACACACACACACTCACACACACACACGCACACAATGTTGTTTTATTTCTCCGCACATTTCCTTTGGCCTTTCCAAAAGCACGGAATCCAAAAGCACGTTGGTGTGTGTTTCTGGGAAGCTTTGTGACTTTAGGAGAGTCAGCAAGTTCTACTGCATGCCAACATATCCTCTTTCTGACACTCTCCTTGACCTACTGGCTACCCTTATCACTCAACACTGACCCATGTGTTCCCTATGGCTATGATGAGAGACTTCCCAAACTCATGTTCACAAACTAAGCAGGAACAGGGAACCCTCCCCCTCCGTGTTCCAGAGCAATAATGAGTCAGATGGCAGTTCGCAGTCCACCGAGGAGAAGAGCCAGAGCAGTGTGTTCTGTAGCTCTGCGTATCTCTATCTATGCGTTTAACAGCCATTTCACAAGGGCCGATAACATGACCAACCGACCGTGGAGTACCCAGTCCTAGGACAGCTGACTTGAATGACAGTGATGAGAGAAACAGAATCTCGAGGTCCAGTCCTCACGTGGGGATTCCTCTTCAGAAGTGGAAACTGCTGCCTTCTACTTTCCCAACCCCTCTCTTTCTGAAACGCACCCTCCAGAGACCATATCCATGCTGTAGATGGAGAAGGGGTGGGTAGGAGGGTCAGTGACAGACCCTGTGGCCCCTTCTCCTCAAGGGTGTTGCAGGTTTCAAGGGACCTGTCATATATGACACAGTGTTCTCAATATGTTTGTTCCCCTTCTTAGGGCTGTGTTTTAACCAAGGTCACCTCTCCCAGAAAGGTTGTTTCCCCAGGTGGGGATTTTTCCCTGGAGTTAGGGATTAACAGGACTAAGGGAGGGAATAATCAGTAAAATCCCTTAACTGAGTGCCAGGCGGGTAATCACTTTCACCAGGAACAATCACCCTTAAGCTACATAAGCTTTACTTAGGCTAATCTTCTTCATTTACTTCCTTGTAACTGAACAGAACAATAGGGTAGTGACCTTAGAATGGAGATAACAAACGCCCTAACCTTTGGGATAGAATGGATAGGATTAAAATCCACTGGTATAAATACAGATGTAGCAGGAGAATCAATACAGAACCTGGAGTTGCAGAGCCGCCTTCCTACAGTTGCAGAGCCGACTCCGTGTCTGCAGGAAGGTCCAGAACGACTGCAACCTCAACCAGGCACCTCACAGCTCAGCCCGCCCAGCCCAGACCCCAGCGAGCCCTGAAGCCAATCCACAACCGTGCGCCTGGGACCCTGCTCCCGCCCGAAGTGAGGGACCAACGTGCTGACGCGCGAGCTCAAGCCAAGGCATATTCCGCGCTAGTCATGGCCGACATAATGGACATGTCTCTGGACGACATCATTCAGCTGAACCGCAGCCAGCGGGGTGGCCGAGGCCGAGGTGGGGGCTGGGGCCCAGGCCGGGCCGGCTCCCAGGGAGGCCGCGGTGGCGGAGCGCAGGCCCCCGCACCAGTGAACCCAGTGAGCCGAGGCGGCGGGCCCATCCGGAACCGGAACCGGGCGGCCCTCGGCCGAGGCTGCGCGGCGGGTGGCCGAGGCAGGAACCGGCCGGCGCCCTACAGCCGGCCCAGACCGCTTCCCGACAGGTGGCAACACGACCTTTTCGACAGCGGCTTCGGCGCGGGCGCCGGCGTGGAGACGGGAGGCAAACTGCTGGTGTCCAACCTGGACTTCGGAGTGTCGGACGCGGACATCCAGGAGCTGTTTGCGGACTGCGGGACTCTGAAGAAGGCCGCCCTGCACTACGACCGCTCTGGCCGCAGCCTGGGAACGGCCCACGTGCACTTTGAGCGGAAGGCAGACGCCCTGGCAGCCATGCAGCGGTACCA